TCTAGAATGGATTGCTAAAGGTGAAAACAGCCAAACCACATGCTCAATTTCTGAATAAGCTTCTATACAGATGAACTAGGTAGAATGAAATTACTTCGGCTTGCTGTGGTCAGCCTTCTACATGTTAAAACTGGATCTGTGCAGAAGTGAAGGTTCTAGTTTTGTGGTGCTGGGATGCATGGGAATATGTGCTGGTTCTGGATTTTTCAAGCAGGAGGTGTATAGAGGACAGCAGCAGAGAGGGTGACATCAGGAACTGTACAGCACTTCCCCTTTCCTGAGAACTTGTGAAACTGTATGTAGGGATTGAGGGAGTCAAGGACCGAGTCCTGAGTATTAAAGATATCCAGGTACATAACTCGCATTGATTTCAACAGCTTAGGCACTTTGAGTGTGGGCCTAAGCTGTGAAGAGAACTACAAAGTGCAGGCAGCACATGGAGCTGGCTCGCTCTACTTGCTAACTCATTTGGCACTTGGTTTCATACTGGTGCTGCACCGAGCTCTTCAGTGGAGATGCCAACACTGAGATGCTACTAAATCAAGTGCAGATAGAGATTACGTATGGTAACACAAGGTATTTAGAGGTGGGGGTTGTATCTTTGGCAGGTGAGAATTTGTCAGTGAATTTTACAGTATGGTTTAGGTTTTAAACAAAATTTGCAGCTCAAATTGAAAGGCAAAGCACCTTTCAAGTCACGGGTGTAAACTCTGCTTGGCCTTGACATGAGCCAACTGTAGTCCAGAGGACATGAATTTTTTTATCTGTGATGAGGCAAAAGCTGTGTCGCCTGTGCTGGGAGTTTTAAAAGGAAAGTTTTGCCCGGGTCTATGTAAATCTTTCCCTACTCATTCTTTCTAGATGCTAAATTAAGTCAGTTATTCTCACAGGAGTTTTCATCCCCCTGCTGTGGGGAAGTTACCAGAACAACTGCATTAACCATTACTGATGTGACACAAATATTCAAAGAGCATAATAAATATACTACTAATGTGGATATTGCTCTGTAAATGTGCAGAATGCTCCGAGTATGACAGTGACTGGAGCTACAGGAATCTGTACATAAACACATCTATTACCTCACGTATCTGCATATATTCACACTACAGAATAAAGCGCAAATATATGCAATGGCCTGAGACCATATTAACTAGGGTCAAATCCTGCTCCTGTTATACTCTAGCACTTTCCTGATGAGTAGGCTGCTTTTTTCAGCTTTAAATATTTGCACAGTGATGAGCTGTTTCATGTGTGTAAAGGTAGTTGATGCTGGCCAACAGCAACTTTCTATGTTACTGGCTACCTGCAAGATTTTAAAATGTGATGTTGTTGCCTCTGATTGCTGTGGTGGCCCTGAGGAGGGCAGTGGGAACTAGGCAAAGGCAGCAGAGGTTCAGCTCTAGTACCCGAGAAGGATGTCAAAACCACCACCCTTTTTTTTTTTTTTTTTTTTTCAACCAGTTCAGTTAAATAAAAAGTACTGGCCAGTCATTTTTAAAAGTAACTGGCCAGTTCGATAAAAATTAAACCCAACTCCTATAGAAATTTATGTGACAAAAAAAGTAAGTGCAAGAAAAGAGAAGAATGTGGTCATTAGCCTGAGCTTGCTCTTCCTTTTTGCTCTGGTTATAATACACACTCTTTTTTTCAAGGCTCAAATGTTCTGATTCAACAGTAAAGCTGGTAATATGCTGCTGTTGTTAGCTTATGCATTATGTTATGGGGCTATACGTAAGGATTTGAATGGGTTATATGAGAGACTTACACGTGTGGATACAAGGGCTACTTTGTGCTACTGACTGTGGTGCTTCCCCACTCACAAGTGGAGAGCAGAGAAGCTGCTGTAGTGTGGTACAGCTGGACATGATTGGGGTGTTCAGAGTTGGGGAGTCCCCTTCTGAAGCTTAGGGCAGGCTGGTGCCAGTACCCTTTTCCTGGGACTGTTCTGGCAGACTCCTCCTTTGGGCTAAAAGCTTGCTTTGTGAGGTCTGAAGGCAGCACGCTGGCAGCCTTAAGCCAAAGTATGCATGAAACAGGCTGCACAGGTCTATGAACTTGTGACTTCATGTGTTTAGTGTTGTACTTCTTTGGGTCTTGCTGATGTCTATGGCTAAACTAGCAAAAAAATAGCTGAGAATCTGATGAACAAAATCCATTTTTTATTTATTTATATTTTGGAGGTGCATCAGAAAGCTTCTGCATATCAGATTAATGGTCATGATGTGGCCATGGGCTGGCTCTTCTCACCTGCTTACCATTTTATATACAATGAAAAGGAAGAGCAGCACATGCTAAACTTTGCTTATGTAAAGCCTGCTGCTTCTAAGATTCCTTCACCCCCACCCCCATCCTTTTAAATTACATTTCTTGAATTACTCAGTTACTCATGACCTCTTATGGAGGGGTGTTAATGAGCAGAGGCACTGAGGGTGACAATGGGCACTTCGTGCATAATTTGGAGGGCAAAGTTAAAACAGGGCAACAGCAATACAGCAAATTTACTCCTACTCATTTCCAGTATGGTATTTGTAGTGTAAAAAGTTGAAATGAATATATACTTTGGGTCAAGATGGTGGCTACTCAAATAACACTAGGCTGTGCTGTGTTCACCGGCTTGAGTGGGGGTGGTGGTATTGTCACTCCTAGAGCTTTTCTTTCTGTTTTACAGAAGCATTTTGTATTGCAACCACAACACCTAACCACAGCATTTCCTAGATACTAGGCCCTCTTCTGGAGTCCTGAGTGATTCCATTGGTACTGCTATCCATTTTACTTCTCCAGCATAATTTAGGGATTTGCTTTAGTTTTAGATTAGTACAGCAAGGATCTGCATCCATTCAATGCACATATAATGAAAAACAGCAGAGCTGGGTGTTTTGCATACAGTTTATTATTCTGATTTCTGTTGTTGCCTAATTAATGAACTGCTTTAAAAGCAGTTCTGTATAGATGCCCAATAAAAACTTTAATGAAAAATATAGCCACCCTTTTTTATTCTACCTAAAGTTGTGTAAGAAAGACATGGCAACAGAAAGCAAACATGCTACTACTTTCCCATATACCAAGGGCTAATCCTACCTGTCCCCAAGGAAATATTAAAACTCTTTGGGGAAAATTGACAATTGACAAAATTGTTAAATTACTCATTTATAAAGTCAAGGTAGGTGGTAAGTAAGAGTTGTTGTTATGGAATTTTTATGTCCTTGAAACAACTTAGCAAAGGGAAGTTTTGAAAGAAAGGGAGTAGTGTGACTGACACTCCAGAAAGTTATGGGACAAATATTCCCTGCACAAGTCCAGGAAGTGACAAATGGGAAGTGGGCAATGGAGGGAAAAGGCAGGAGGACAGTGGCAGACTCTTTGTAAACACATCAGCTTGGGTGATGGCTGTTCAGTGGAGCCTTTTGGCTCCCTCTGTTTTTCTAGGTTTAAGATGCTAAAAGCAGGTAGTTGTGCAAAAATCCAGGCCTGATCTAAAGAGATGCCATTTTGAGGACACTTTGGAGCAGGGACTGAAGCTGTATATTTAGTTGGTGTGCGCATTTTAAAAGCCTTGGGAGAACATCATTAAGGGGCCACCCAAGATTAAAATCAATTTATTTTCAACAAATTATTTCAACTTCTAATCAACAAATGATGTAGCATGGGAGTACAAGATGGAATGTCCCAGGGGCTGTGACATAACTTGTGCAGCAAGGTAATCCTTTGCTGTGTCTAGTGTGAAGAACATCACGTATGTATTTGACAACACATCAATCCTTCCCCTTTTCCTCTCCTTTAATAATATCAGCAAATTGTAATAGTCCCTAGAGGAGTGCTGCACAGAGGGGGATGTACCTCCATGAGGATCTATCCCCTTCTATTTACAGCAGCAGACAAGAAATGGGAGAGAAACAGGAAAGATACCTTCCGTTCAGACTATTTTCCTTCTTGGTTCAGCTCAATGTGGAGTGATAGGCTAAGAGTAACAAAGGTGATAAGGGTGTTCCTGGCTACAGCAGCTCTATATAAGCAAACGTAAATTTCCAGTAGAAGCATAAGCTAACTTAGCTGCAGTGTTGCTTAAACTGGAACACTTTATCTCTACTCTGTTTAGTTGAATGCTGGATACTGGCACATGCTGGTATTTGCTCTGTGGTGTGTCTTCCCCGCCAGCTTCACAGGAAACAGAAAATGAAACTTCCCTGTTGCCCTTAGGAGGAATTAGACATGTGGAAAAATGATCAGCTGTAGGCATAGCTGAAGAGGCAGCCAGGGTAGCATTGTCGAGGGCAGCTTGATAGTGCCATTTCTCTTTAAGCAATACTCCACAAGAGCAATGAAAGGATGAATAGTCTGTGCTTGGTTCACCAGTTTTAGACCTGGAATATTTTAATAGTCACTTATTAGCAACACTGAATGTGACCAGACTTCAAAGGCTCTTCTCAGAGCAAAATAAATTTCCACATTCTCTAGTGAGTGAGGCATATAGTTACTACAATAATCTTTATTTGACTTTCCTCTCTCATGCTAATTTCAGAAGGGAAAAAAGTTACCCTAAACAAATGTCACCTTTTCACTTGTCCTATAGCCCCACCTTTTTCCTGACCTTTGTTTTTTTTAAGTTACATAGGCTTACTTGCCTGGTCTGACATTCGGATAACAGTTGCATTCACAGCTAATTGCAAGTGTGGAAGTTCTGCTGCACTGTTGCTTCCACTGTTGCAAATTTGAATTAAAATGAAGGCTACTGAAATGTATCACCCCTTTAGGTACCAGCCTGATTTACTAGCAGTTTCTGGGTTCTGGGGCCATTCCAGACCCCCCTGGACACACTCATGCTTTGCCTCCTTTGCTAGTGTGAGTGAGGGACACACAGTCTCAAGTGAATAGAGATATACATCGACAAGCTCATTGTTTCTTAAATTATCACCAACAAATAGGCAATTAATGAAACCCAAATACTTCTTTGCTGTATACCTTGGATCTCTTCTCCTCTTTGCAACAGAGCACAGCTAGGTTTAAATGATGATATCGTAAACTCGGCCCACTCTTCCCAGCCATTCCCGTACTGCCTGGCGGACACGGATATCTGTCACATGGCAAGTCAGTTGGCTGATACAGGGGAACACTGCTGGCTGCAGGGCTGTGAAAGTTTGGTCTGGCAGGGCCTGAATCTGGTTGAGAACTGTCAGCACCATGTTCGTCCATGCCTACAAACAAATGGGATACAAAAAAAAGACTCTTTAGAAGACCGTTCTCAACAGATGAGCCCATCAGTTGAGGCAGAAAATAACATATCTGGTGCTTGCAGCCTCATGAAGAGGACTGAGTAATGTCAGCATATTCATTTAATGTTCACTGTGCCTTCCTAATTCACATTAAGTACTGTAAGTCTTGTTTGACTTTGTATTCCAGGTATTGTGCTCACCCTTCATCACCTTTTATTTTGGCCTACAGTGAACAAAGACTTTCAAGTTTGGTGCTTTCACTGATTTGTTCACTTGGATATGCAAGCAGCAAGTTCCTGCTTAGCAACAGAGACCACTCCTTCTGCTGTGGAATTAACAAAAAAATCTTCTTAAGTACAAAGGCATTGTGTCAAGCAGCATGACAGTTTCAAAAGCCTTAAGTGGGCTAGAGCCCTTAGCAGTAAGCAATGAGTTCATTGTAGATTGTTAGTTCTTAGGACTAAGTGCAGCTTTGGCCCCAGTCACAGAAACGCTCTTGAAAGCTGTACTGTTATGTGCCTAACAACACTTCCCTGAAGACTGTTTTTCTTTTGATAGGACAGAATCAGGTTTTTATCGGTACCAGCTGCTGAAATATTCAGTCCTCATCATGATAACTTCTTTATGTAATGAAGACATTTAATGAAGAGATTATAATCATTACAATCATCAAAGCAACGGAAAAAAATTTTTAGAGGTATCTTTTTAATTATTGCTATTATTATTAGCATTCTACAAGTATGTCCTACCTGTATCTGGGCCTCTGCATCCCTGACAGATATATTCAGGGAGCTGACTGTGGATCCTGAGCGTGGTCTCTTCTCTTGTCTCAGGATCTCTGGACCAGCACTGAATGAATGCCTCATTTGACCTTGATCTATAAGATGTTGTGGCCGCTGGAGTATGGGTGAGTCTGGCCCTCTAGAACCCAGGAGCTCCCCTTTCTTTTCCACTTTGACCTCTTTGGTGAAGGATGTCATGGCCTGTTGCTGCTTTCTTTTCTTGTATTCTGTCATGAGCTTGGAGATAGTTTTGTCAGTGGCTATGGTGTAGATCTTGTTGCCAGCACTCTCCCACCATTCTTTTTTCCTGGTTTGCTCTTTTTTCTCTGGTTTAGGACTTAGGGGTGGGGGTAGCAGCAACATTTCTCCACTCCCTCCTCGGGGTGTCAGGCTGTCTCCCAGTTGGTCCCTGATTTGACTCCGGTCATCTTCAGATGGTGTGTCCTTCCCAGATTGCCCTCCGGTTGATGGGGTGGAGGTTTCTGAGTGAAAGGATGGTAAAATGAAGAAAGGGTCACCTTTGAACACTGGAGGCTCCTCTACATTATTCTCCAGGTCCAGATGCATCTGGATATAGTTGTTGCACAGTTCCATACAGAGCTTATGAAGCCGCTTGATTAGCCATCCCCAGTCTGCATTGCTGACAGGCTGTACGCTCAGAGATGGTATTCGAGCCCTCCACTGTCTCTTCTCCTTCCCTCGTGGGGGACTGACCTGGGCAGTTTCTTCAAAAATGTCTTCATCTTCTGAAGAACACTGCTGTGATGAGTCTGTGCTTCTCTCATCATCTTCAAAGAGTATCTTTTTCACTTGCTCTGCAGTGATGTTCTCCTGGTTTGTCAGGATTGCACAAACCAAAGCATGGAAGTAGATGTTGAAGCTCATGGCTGACTGGCGATACAAGTTGGCAGCTCCACTAATGCCAGACACTTTTTTCAGCAAACACTTCAACCCAGGTCTGGTGTCAAACTCTCTGGCTGTTCTATAGGAGTCCAGCAGTAAGTCAAAGATGACAGCCAGGTTTTGCATGGAGATGTACCTGAGAAAACCAGCCAACTTGTTTTCTGGTACTTGTATTGTCATTTTCTCCTCCAAGTTAGAAGGGCCTTTCACAAATTCTTCCAATAAGATGTCGTATAAATTCTGGAGCAGTACTTGGTGGGACAGCAAGCTCACCACTATTGTCCTGAAAGGAATACTTGGTAAACCAAGCATGTGAAGGAAAAAAAAAATTAAAAAATGGTGCATTGTGCTTTTACTAGAAGTACAGGAATACTTTGTATTTTAGAATCTAACATGAAAGATGCAAATGAAAGGCCAAATTTTCACAGCCTTGTTACAAAAAAGTGGAGGAAGACAAAGTTGTCTGGAATGGTCTTTCAGCTACTCTTTCAAATACTTTTCTAGAAGGGAAGTCACTTACATTGATTAAGAAAAATAACTGTCCACTTGTGCAGAGGTGGTATTAAAACAAAGCTCTGTTATTATTTTTGTCATTTTCTCCAGAGTTCTTCTAACACTGAGGGATTAAATATTCTGTTTCAATTTCATGACAGCTGTAAGTATTCTCAATATTACAGCCTGCTATAACTGAGTAATTTGTTAACACACAAGTTATGTATCACTTCTGCTATTGGTTCCTGACTATATTTTCTATTTTTGTTGCTGAACTTTGCCTAAGTTGAAATATCCTTAAAATACCTCCACCAGCATTTCAGCAATCCTTAATTTTGCCATGACAAATTGAAGCCAAAACTAGTTTACTACCTGGTTTCCATTTCCACTAATGCCAGAGTACTTCTTAAAAATAAAACACAAAGAGCCAACCAACCAACCAATAAAAAAACATCTACAGAAACATCAGCAGTGCAATGGAGCATGCAAAGAAGCTTAAGTCTTGCTGAAGGCACATTTCACTGTTTGCTCTTAAGGCTTCAACTTGAACTCTGAGAGCCTAGCATGGAAATATCTATACCTAACCCTGTGTCTCACTGTGCTCCTGTTAGAGAGATGCTGTGAGTTGTTCTAGATATCACTGATTTTTGATTTGCACAGGAAACCCAGGAACGGCAAATTACTCCAACCAAAGTTTTCAGGTCATTCACCAGTAAATAACACTGAGAGGCTTACAAGCAAGGGAGGCTAGGAAGAAAGGGTGGACAGGATTGTTGTTTGGTATGTCATGGATTTAAAGTTATAAACTGTGAAACTTATCTTAAGGCATTTAAAAAAAAAAAGGTCTTTGCATAAGATTACAATGGCAATGTTTTAAATAGAGCTGATGCTCTGGTACACATAGTAATACTTGTTTTGATTTAGGGAACTATGATGGGTTGCATTTTAATTAGCACTGCTATCACATGAGTAAGAGATTTTTCAGTTTGCTTGCAATACTGGAGTTTTAGGTCCAAGTCAAAGTAAATCTTCATGTAACAGGAGATGTTTAGTTGTAGACTTTTAATTTTTTTTTGTTGCAAAAATTATTCTACTTTCATTAAACAACTTTCAAAAGTTTTTTCAAAGTAGCAAAACAAAAAGTCTAATTTTTTTTGAGAAATCATATCAAAACTTGTTTTTGAGAATGCAACATTTTCTAAAAAAAAAAAAAAGGTCAGACAAAACTGTGCTTCTTGGGTTAATTTACCTATGTCAGTTTGCTTACTGTGACACAGCTGTCAGTGCTGATACATCAGTAAAATTTAGTAGTCTTATTATCTGACAGTGCTAAAACCTTGATGATTAATACATACACTGGAGCTCTTTATGGGGAAGTAGTTTTCTGCTGTAAAAATCATTAGAGGCTCTGACTCAGAAAAGCTCTTAAGAGCATGTATAAAGTTAAATGAGTGCTTGCATTGATTTCAAGAGACTAATCCTGTTCCAAAAGCAGGATCAGAATGAAGGAGATCTGCTTTCCTTGTAATAGCCAAAAAGGCAATTTACAAGGACAGTTTAAAGTACTGCTCAGTTCCAAAAGAAACTAGTACAGAACTACAGGTGAAAACACACAGTGACAAAGCTGGTTAAGGATAGTATTTTCTTATTCTGCCCAAAGTTTCAAACTAAAATATAGTATTACTTTTTAGGAAGAAGAAAAGCTCCCTTACCCCAGCTTCCTGTGAAACGATGCAGCATTAAGGAAACAAAAGCAAAAAGGGAGAAGAGAAACCCCACTAAGGTTAAAGTAAAACTTTTGAAAGGCCACAGTTACTACTAGCATGCAAGACTGGCATATAACTGCACTGCTGTAGCAAATAATATGAAAAACAGTGGCACAGTCAACTTTTGAGCCCTGTTTTGGTGAAAAATGAGCATTGCTGGGGTAACATTTGCCTATCGGCATATACACTTTTTGCAGTTGTTTAGACAAAGCACAGTGTGAGAGCATTCAGAGTTTGTCTTTATTGCAAGACCCATGCTACCTTTACAAACACAGCCTGTTAGATTGCATGGCCTTACGTGCCATGAGAGGGGAGTACTCCAGTCTTTTGCTTTGCATTCATTATAACAAGAAGAATGATCTGCAAACCTTTGGATAAAGCAGATATTTTCCCACCACAAAGGAAGGGTTTAGATTGTGATCTCAACCTTTCTTCGTCTCTGAGCAGGGCCCTGTTCTCTGAAGGTGAGGCAACAGAACACCTGCTCTTGGGGGAAGCTTCTGTACAGCTGTATAAGAACAAAGACATCTTGCACGGTCTTTCTTCCGATCCATCCAAAGGACCATCACAATCTGGCTCCTTGTTGCAAGCAATAATTTAGTTTTGAATGAGAATGCCTGAAGTGGTACAGAAGCAGGTTTGGTATCTAGTAAAACACAATTTCATGCCATGTATTACATACCTTGCAATACAACCACAAACCGTGAATGCAGAATTCTAACTTTAGGCCCTATTGATGTTACAGCAGTTGTTCAAACAACTAAGTGCAAGCAAAAAGAAATATTCTTTGACAGGATCAGATTGTCATGCAAATGTATGAGTTTCTGAGGTGGTAACATACAGAAGGACTTCCACAAAAAAAAGGTGCCAAGCAAAACCAACGTTCCCTAGATCAATATGTTGACAGTTTTGCAGCTTTGGATGTGGTCTGTTCAATTTATACTGCTCCAGTTCATCCATTAACTTTTTCTACCTTCTTAATCCAGTAATACTGAATTTAAAAGACCATTAGTGAAGCAGACATTATTTCATTTGGTAAGTATCATTACAAACGTAATGGTACTTCCAAACCTTTCTTCAAACTGATATTTTTAACTCTACTTCTTAAAGAAAAGAATCTCAATATTGGAAAGATTTTCCTAGCATTTCCTATGAGAATTCTTTTCTTAATTTAATCTGTTTCCTCTGCTTGAAGGCTTTGTGTGACCTTATGTGTCCTTCAGGTATTTGTAACCTACCAATTTTTACTATCTATCAGAAGCATTTTCCTTATTTAGCTTTCTAAGGCCCACATTATAGACCCTGGCGCAGGCTTCTCTGTAACTGTAACAGCTCTTGCACATGCCTGCTCACCAGTGTATGATCATGGGAACATTTGGAGAGCAGATAGTAGTAACCCATTGTCTCCTATGTCACAAAACCTAATTTTTATTTGATTGGTGTATTTCATTTTTTTGATGAGACCTATGAAGAGGCATGGTTTGCCAGGCTCGGTTCACTTCTCTGCCAGCCTGACGATATTTTTTATCTTGCTTTTCATGACACAGTACTTTCCTGAGAAGATATTTTACCTTCTCTGGGTATGCCCATTTGGTTTCTTATCTGGTGGCAGGTCAATGATGAGCACGCATGACTGGGCATGTTCAAACCCTTCCTTGTTGCTAGGGGTCTTTGGGGAGCACTGAGTCTCCAGCATGAAGACCTAGAAAACAACAGGTTACATAAACCAATCAGTTTAGCACTTGCTCTGGGTCCTTGGGGAGCCTGAGAATAGGATTTCCTGCATTGTTAGAGATCTGTTATGATGACTTATTTTACAGTGATGGAGAGAATGCAAGGTATCCCCCCAGGAAGACCTTCCCTGGAGCATGCTGCTTTGGTAAAACAGCCTCAGAGCCATGGGCTACCTCCAGCCACCCAGAAGAGCACAGGGCAAAGGACAGACATCTTTTTCTTTGAACTTGTGTAAGGCATAATACCAAATGCCAAAACAAACTTTCTGCTGTCTGCATACTGCTATCAGAAAATATCATGTATAGTTGAGACAAGGACCTGTTTGCACAGTTAGCCTGTTGTATCTAGAAAGGTTGGTTGTTGGAAGCATTATTTTTAGCCATGAAGATACAAGAGACACCTAACTTGCAATTCTTTGGGTGGGAAATGGAGAAACAACCCTTAGTTGCTGTAGCTTTGTTTTGTAGCTTAGTAGTTGTGTCAAATCCCCACTGAGAAGGACACAGGGAGTGCCACTGATAGTGTCTACAAGAAAAGTATAAATGCCACATTCCTTGCTTTTTGAGTTCTGTGTCTTTAAAACTTAATTTAAAACATTTTTTTCTATTCAAAGTCTGCCACTGCCACATTATTTGTGATCACAAATCTTGGTCTGTATGTCTCAGATTTTCAAGCAGCATCAGGGTATGATTAATCAAGTCAGAAACTGACACCAAACATCTGTTTGCTTTTTTAATCCAGCTGCTTTCCCATGCTGAAACTGTCATATGGTATTTACAGTTTTATGGTACCCTGCAGGTCATTAAGTTCAGTCTGCTGTATTTCAAGGAACTTGTTTCATATAACCAGTTTCATAAAATGAACAAAGCTCCATTGTAGTCAAAAGGACCCCAAGAAGGTTGTCTCCAAGCTTGCTCTGCTGATTAGGAATTAGCGGTGAGTTTTAAATAGTTGGTTAAATGTCAGTGTTACACTCTAGTTCTCCATAACTCTTTTTCTTCTCTGCAATCTATACCCAGGTATGTATAGAGAAAAAAACTGCATTCCTCTTCAAACTCTGCTTTGATAAGTTGAACAAATCTGTTTTTTCTAGTTTCATATCACAGTCTCAGTTCTAGTGCATTTTTTGCCCTTTGAATTTATCATTCTTTAACAGAGTAATCAGAAATGTATATGACATTCTAGATGAGGATTCATAGTGACACTACTATTTCCCTTTTCTATTGGAAACATTTCCACTGATGTATGCTAGGGTTGCAGTTTTTAAAGCTACATTACACAACCGGGTCATCGTCAGTTCTCCTTAGGTACCTGTGCATCCTCCTCCACCCTAGGCATTCCCAATTCCTACTTACAGGGGGACAGTTTTAAGGTTTTTTTTTCTAGGTTTTATTACTTTTTCTCAATACTAGTGTTAGACAAATAAATGTTAGTCTGGTGATGAGGAAGTCTTTGCCCATAGGGTTTGTGAGGAAGGTGGTGGTAAAGATGGACTTTCATAAAGAAAAGCCCCAGGTTTAAAAGGTTCTCTGACTTCCCCTGAAACATCAGTCAGTACCTGTTGTGCCATGGCTCTGATTCTCCAATATTCAGCTTCAGCACTTGGCGAGAGGGAGGGGGCTGCCACCTTCACTTCACAGGCATCTCCACTAAAGCTTTCAGAACCACTGTGGAAATAGCCCAACAGGTTCTATAGAGAGACACAACATCAGGCTTTTACTGTGTGTTAAATGAAGTCAGTGACTGTAGCATTGTCCAGCCTGTTTGTGTGTAATACAAGATTCAGAGTGATCTGTCACATTACCGTCAGCTGGTCACATGCTACTTAGCATTTGATGTATCTGATGCAAAGATATTACAACTTCTTAAGTACTCTGGCCTGTGATGACTTAACAGGACTTTTTGTTACAAGAAAGATAATGAGTTCAGACATAATCTATATGGAGCATGGAGCTACAGGATCAAGTAAGTGACTTTGTCTTCTGTCTATTTTTAGCCAATCCAGAGAAAGAAATGATCAAAAGGTAAGTAAGTCTTCACCTATTTAACTCTTCTAATTTCACACTGGCAGGGCAATTTAAAATAAGTCTGGACTGTTAGCAACTAGTGTTGTCTGTACATGTTTAGAAAAACTGATTTCAATCTCCATTGTTCATACAACACCTTTAATTGTAAATTGACAAAGAAGCTACCACATAATCCTTACACTTCCTTTCCTGGCTCTGTACACAAAAACTTTTCTAAAAAAGAAAAAGCAACCTGTCAAAAGTTAGCAAGTCTATAACTACTGTGATTACATTTTGACTGTCAGCAAAAAAGGCAGTTTACCTTTACTGGCTCCAGAGTGGCAGAGAACGCATCCTGCAAGGCACAACACGCAAGCCTCCACATCTCTTCAGTAAAAACAGGCCCTGCTGTCACTAACACATACCTGCAAGGACACGGGAAAATGTTACCATGTTCAAGAATGAACTAGCTAATTCTTATTTGTACTGGGAGAAGGTTGAAAACAGAATAAAAGGCCTACTCAGTAGCTAGCTAATGATAACCAATCTCCTCGGTTGTTACCCTGACCTATTTTTGTAATTACACTGTAGTTTTGACTTTTTTTTCCCCACTTTGTTTTTCCTCTTTAAGTAGGCATCTTGCCAGGACAAGCACAACACACTGTGTAACTCTCTAATGCAGTGCTTATTTTGATTATGTCTGTAATAACCTGAAGACTGTTAAAGGCATTAATTACCTCTAAAGACCTGTGAATTCCAACAGAAAGACCCTTCATTATTTTTCCTAAGGATTATTGACTAACTGCACGTAAGTAATGTACAAGTGCTTTTAATGGGAATCATACACATAGTAATGCCTAAAATCACAGGTTCTGAAGCAGATCAAAAAAAGCAAGAAAAGGTTAGTAAGTCTAAAATTCATTCTTTAAATAAAAAGAGATAGATATATTGTGGACTTCTTTTGATATGTTACCCAACCTAATCAGTCCACAAGTTCTTCAAAGATATAAAGACATCTTTTTTTGAATATGCTAACAGAGTGAACAGACTGTGTTACCTGATACAAGAGCAGCCAACTCTGGAAATAATTTCTGTTGGTTCTGCCACACAGGCTACCAGCAACTTGAAAAGATCTTTCAGCATAGTATTGATCATATTTTCATAACCAATATCTATAAGGAAAAGACACAGACTGGTTTTAACACTATTGCCTTTTCATTATAATTAAACAGTCTTGCTACACTTACTGCTATTCAGAGACTTTGTAAAACCAAATTCTTTTTATGCAGCTATCACTAGAGTTCAATTTTGAAACATGCATCATATCAAACTGAAATAAGAACAATCCTTTTGATGTTAACAATATAAAATGTCTGGACTTAAGTGGTACTGGAGAAACTCTGTTAGATCTTGTTTCTGGTATTATAGTTCTTTATGAACGACGTCTTAGTGTCTTCTTTTGGAAAGTATAATATAGACTGTGATGATTTAATTTTGAAGATAGCCCTGCTCTGAGCAGGAGGCTGGACTAAATAACTTCCGTAGGTTCCTTACAAGTTAATTTTTTCCATAATTCTAAACCCTACAAAGGAAGAAAAAAACCCAGACAGAAAGAAGTTTTCACCCCTCCTCCGCTTATTTTATGCTTGAGCAACCAAAAAGCCATGAAACTATCTCCCCAAGTAGCTATTCAGTAACATGCCACTGGTGACTGTCAGTAGATGTGACAGTACAATGACATACCTGAGTGTATGAAATTTTGAATGTGCTCCACTACGAGTTCACAGGAAAGGCCAATGGCATGCTTGAAATTAGCAGATGCCACATCCCAGTAAGAATGGTCACCATGGCTGCGATGGAGCCAAAGAGACATCGTGGGAAGAAGAAGATGTACAACTGCATAAATGCCAAATCCTGGTCCTTAAAATAAACACAGTGATGGTTGTATATTTTTGCTTACAAAGCCTACACGCACAGTAAATTTGCTAAGTTGTTCGAAGCTTGAGGCCAGGGGTGATGTGAAAGAAAGCAGGTTCTGAAACTTTTTTTTGTGGGATGAGCGGGGCAAGCAGTTTTGGCTCTAGTTGTGAGGTAGTATATGAACATTTAAGCTGACTGTTTACCTGCTGTCTTTCCCAGCAGGTCTACGGGACTATGTAATTTTCTTTTTCCATTTCCTGGACACCAGGCAAACATTTTCTGTGGCTACAACATTGATAGAGTACTGCACCTCTTTATTAGTGCAATAAATGTAAGAGTATGTTGAACATACTCTTACAAGATGTCTTTTGTCAACATAGAACAATGCACTAACTGGAACAACAGAGCATGCTCTAAGAAAATCCCTTTCTACTTGAGAATGTCTCTGTGCAGCTCTAGCATGAGTAACACATTTTACAGAAGTGGTTTAGGATTCTAGGAAGTTTGGGTCAGGGCTCTACTAGCTCACATTTTATCAAGCCCTTTCATTACCAGGTGTCTTGGCAATGTCCCTCAGCAATTCAAAGAGCAGATCCAAAGTAGGAGGCTGGTGCTGACGGGGACAGTTGGATATAGCCGTTGTTAATTCTTCCAGCAGAATAATCCAGACATTGATAAGGCCTACAAGCAACAAAACAAAGATTGAAAGCCATGAGTGAGATACTGCATTGACCACAGGTGGAACTTGCCTTCAGAAAGTGATAGAGGCTAAGAAATTAATTAACTTAAAGATCACAGGTTCTTGCATGTTCACTATTGCCGTGTAACGATTGTGGGCAATAGCAATTTTTAAAATGATGGTCTCCTTTTCCTTCCTTTTTTATTAAGCGTATGTTTTGTCCCATCCTTCCTCCTCCACATACATCTTGTTCTGGTCTTCTTTCTTAGTTTACTACTCCCACTAGTCCAGCTTCTTTAACCTTAGGTGTGTTTTTTTTAATGGGACATTTTACACATCTCACTACCATTGCAAATGCTGCCCAGAATGGATTATACTCATTTAGGTTATGCTTTTAGGTAATGATCCTAATGTGACTAGCCGTAACTTAATTGGCTCTATTTGGTACCCAGATTTGAACAGTAATAATGTCTCATGAAGTATCACCAGGCTGCCACACATGACATCTTTAGATGTTAAGAGGTCACAGATAGAAGAGTATTAAATGTGGATACGACAGAGCTGGACAACTACCAGAACAGCAGTTAGGACACAGGTAGTACTGTGAGTTCATATCTACATTAGCAAACATGCACCCCTGAAAGATTATGGGATACAACTAGTTTTCAGTAGAATTTTGAAGATGGTTAGGAATTGCTGCCCTTTAATTCTTTACAGATTACTTAAGTACTTACTAGTTCCCCATGACATTATGAATGACTAGAAGGATCTTGCGTATTACATTCATAATGCTCCTGCAATGTATAGTGTTATTCCTGAGCTAAGTCTCCTTAAAAGGCTATGGGTTTATTAGGCTAAAATGGATTTTACTTTGGTTCACTAATAATAAGCCCATCTTCTCTGCCACTGGTAGCCATGCTGATGTAGTCTGTGTCTGCATGATGATTGCTGGCTAATTATGTTCCAAAACCAATAAAAAAGGCTGCAAGGGAACTTTGTTTAAGATACACCGAGTTTGCTGACTGCAAGAGTCTTCCTAAGAATCAAGTTAAAAACAGTGAAATCATTACTTAGTAACTGGGTTGCTCATTTATTTATTCACACCACTTCCATGGGGCAGTATATACGGTGACATTTTCACTCCTCTACTTCAACTGTGGTCTAGAAAGTATTTTTGTGTTAGGTGTCAGAAATGCATACTGGTTGTATTATGAATATCAGGATGATAATATTTTATTTAATAATATTTTAATTTTGTCTTGAGAGGGGTTGTATTTTTCTCATATATGAGCTGTATCTTTTCACATAAAGAAGGTGACATGACCTGAACTTCCAAGCTCTGTGTGCGCACATGTGTGCGTAGACAACAGGGAGACAATAAACTATGAAGTTTTTCCCCTCCTTTTTGCTTTCAGCACTTGGCAAAATTTACAGTGACATGTGGAAGAAGCAGTTGATTAATTCCACATTTACTGCTTTCAATGCACTTACCAGTGTCGTCATCAAAGTCAGAAAGGATGCACTCAATACCATCCTCACTGCTGGCTGACTGTTCCTGCACTCTTCGGGGCAAGTTAACCAGCCGGCCACTGAGGAAGATGGGTTTCAAGGGCATTTTATAGATTTTGGCTAACAACTTGAGGGTGGGGAGGAGACAGAGAGAAAAAAAAAAAAAGAGAAGAAAAGGTGAATATATATGTGAAAGTTTGTAAAAGCTATCACATACAACACAGGTACGTAAAATGAAATAAAAGCTATGAAAGCAGCATAATGACAGCATCTGTTCTGTTCATCCAGCAATAGTGTAAATGAAAAACACAACTAGAGGCCAGAAGTCTTCTGTTCATTGACAAGTAAGGGGTCGGGGTGAGAAAGAGAAGGAGAAAAGCAATTTAAATAACACATTTTTGGGAAGGGAGTATGCTCCCTTCTCATTTGTGAAAGACAAATGTTAGTACTTACTGATCGCACCAATGACCTAAGAAGCTCCATTAGCTGTACACAGAGTATTTTTGAGCTCTGAAGGACTAAGTAAATACCAATAAAAGGACCTGTACAGGTTTACTTCAGAGATTCATTGCCTGAATTGTCCATTACACAACAAATACAAATTTTGCAGAATTGTGCTATAGCTGGGATGCTACCAGTATTTCACCAGGCCTTTCTAAAGTAAACCATGTATTTAAAACATACAGACAGGATTTCTTTCTAGTCATTCCTGTTCTTCTTCTACTGGCAAGTTAAAAAGTATAACAAGATAAAAATGGCTGCTTCTTTTAAAGAGGAGAAAATATTTCTGCCTCATTGTGGAGTGGGGTTTGTAAGGATGAGGAAGAGTGATGTGATGCACATATTGTACAGATAGAACACACATTAGATATACATGTACATATTCCCTAAATTTTTTTAGGTGAACAAAATAGGAAGTACAGTTTGATATGTCTGCTGTTTATTATTCTGAGCTGCCTTATTCTCTCCTTCTCCTCTCAGTCCGTGTACTGAATCCACCCATTATCTCTGAATTTAGATATTAAGTCCTTTCAGCTATGGTAATTATCCTTTGTTACGCATTTGTATTTACCCAGAAAAAACATGGCCTGGGTCCAACAAAAAGACCTGCAGGTACTACAGAAATACAAAAAAACATTAGAAAATCAGACAAAAAAATGTCGTAATAACCCTGGATAATAATCTATGCTGTGTGCAAGGAGATCACAGGAAACATGCCAACATTCTAATTGTTAGAGATTTGCCCTGTTTCAGATATGTTTTCATGGTACAGATAAGCTGCTGCTGCTGCTGCAGCATTTTAGAGGGTGTAACCTGTTGCTCTTCTTAAGATCTGAGAATTCTCAGTTTGGTTTTTTTTTTTCTTCTTCATTCCCAATACTGTTTAAATAAGAATGAATGTAGCTTTGAATATGTTACTACCAGGTTTTGAAAATTCACATTTTCCCACATGCTCCTTGGGTCTGAGTGTTTTTATCTCCTCAGTATTCCCACTGTTAGCTGGCCTAGAAGGCATGAGATTCCTTCAGATTGCCACTCTCCATCTGGCAGTGCAGGTTATTACCATCAGGCTTACCACAGATTCTGTCGTGTACATGCAAACCATTGATGCAAAGCCTGGAGGTTAGAACCAGTTCCTAGGCGAGGTTAGTACCTGTATAAGATTGTTCATCATACCTGAGAACATCTCCTGAGGTAATCAAGCGCAGGAAGGCACAAGTCTGTAGATGCAGATCCTGATCCTGGCATACAGTCACCCATCTCCTTACAATCTACTTCCCCTGGGGATAGGAAAGGCAGCATTGGAAAGGACAGAAGAAAAGAAAAAACATAGCATTAGTTTTCCTTTTTCATTCAGTTGTGCCCTAATGTCTGAATAGAATCCAAGAAACATCCTTTGTTTGATCTTATTAGATGACAACCAGATGATTCTCGTACAAACAATACAGTAATATTGGTCATAGTTTATACATGGACTTTCATATGAATAAATACTTTAATAAATACATGCCTATTTAATAACTCTTTAGTAGAGCCTTTGGGAGTTCTTATGATCATACCTTATGGTCACTTGTCACACTGACTCCACTCCATTTTTTTCCATGGGTGTATGAATTAATTACTTACTCATATTCACCCTTTGCTCAGTTAATATACACATTTTTTTCTATGCATTTGCACCCCAGTGCCCTGGAAAACTCTACCACAAGTTCTTCCTTTTAGTTTATTTACTCCTTAAACACACCATTTTATATTTTGTGCTACAATAGTTCCTTCTGCTGTCTAATTCAGGTGTCAAGGTCTCACAGTTTCAAATGTATGTCATCCTCAGGCTCTAGTGTCTCAACATCACAGGTATTACTAACACTGTGGCATCAGCAGACTCCTACTTCTAGGTCAGCTTCACTGAGTGTATTAAATAAGCAGATCAGTTCCAAGGCATCCTGTTGCATAGCTCCTCCGTGAGTAACTCCATTCACTCCAATGTTTTCCCTGTCTCTACAGTCTGTTTTCCTCCACTCTCAGCCAATGTTCTGCCCACCCTAGAATACTTGGCTCATAACCATTTTTCCATTTAGCCAGATACTTCCCATTCAGTGCCAAATCTGAAGCTTTACTAAATGCCTATATACATTAACTTTTTATTGCCTTAAAAGCTATTCCTATCATAAAAACCACAAGATAAATATTAAATCCTTTTATTAAATCCTACTTTATTCTCCTTTCACACATTTATTTGCTTTTCTATACCCTGAACTATTCCCTCCATAATGTATTTTAAAGTCTTGTCTACTATTGAGATCAGCCAAGTCAACCAGTGAAGTTTGAATCCCTCAGTTCTATGTTAAAATGCACATAAATGGTAGTATATTCACTATTGCTCAGTATTGTAGTATCCCATAGTCCTACTACCTTTAATACAAAAAAAGATCTTGCTTTTTGACATGTAACCATAAAGGTGACAAACTTATCTCATGAAAGTAAAAAACCTAAAGAAATACAAGACAGGCTTTTAAGTTCTCCAGAAGGAACATGAGTTCCCTCTACTGGTTCTGGACATGCAAGTTTGTTTCTCTTTTGTAGTAATAATTACAATTCCGGTCCATCATCACAAGTTGAATTCTGCCCCCATTGAAATAAATGGTGAAATAGCTTAATAAGACAAGAGTAACATTAAAGATTACATCTGCTGCAGTTAGGTGCTTCATTTAAATCAAACAGAGTTGCTTACAGACCTAGATACCTTTGTGAATTAATACACATACAAAAAAAAGCGCCCCATTTTACTCCTCTTTACAGGTTTTGCAATTTATGTAAGGGAAAAAAAAAAATCACTGCCACAGTTCAATGAAAAGTGTCAAATTCTAATGATCAAAGCAAGCCAGGAAACATGAACATGGGGGCAGAATGACCCAACACCATTTGCCTTTGTTATGCAGTTTGGTGAAGCACAACAATTACTCCGCAGTGTCACCTTGACTTGACACGCCTGGTCTCCGCTGCCCTCAGTAACACAACAAAAAAACCTAGTCATGGGGACAGAGTGTTGTTAGTTGCAATGCTCATGATCTCATTGAAGGTTCAGCAGGTTTTCAGCATTGCATATGCCAAACTACTGCTGCTGAGGTGGGCAAGGGTAGAAAAGAAGCCGCGTAGCTTTGGCTGCTGAATGTAAAATATACCCTGTTCTGTGGCAGACAATCCATGCTGTCACTGGACAATGCCAGGCTATTCCTGCAATATTCAGGTTTTTGGGGTTTTTTTTTTTTTTTTTTTTTTTTTTTATTATTTAAATGAATATAAGCAAGTCCTGATGCAAATTAAGATCAAATGAAGCAGACATTTAACAGTGAGATGCATCTTTGCTGCTATAACAACTTGAAGAATTGATAGCATTAAAAATGTTTCTGAAATAATCCCTTGGTCTTTATTTTATTTTTTTTTTTTTAAAGCATTCTGGACTTAATTTCTTCACTGCCTCTCTCTTCCCTACCTTACTACGTATTACATAACTGAATTCTCCTCTTCTGCAGCATCAAGTTTGACATATCATAACTTAATAGGATAAAAGGAAAATAAAAATATTTACCCAGTCCTTTGACAAACTTCATAAGGCACATAATATAACTGGTGGCGGCATTGGCAAAGACCTGGATGCTGTCTGTGTTTAGAAACGCTTCAAAGACATCAAACACTGGAGCCTGGCATTTCCCTGTGGAAATAACAAGATGAGAACTCTTCCCCATCCCCCATAAAGGTGATTTTTCAACAGTTTTTCAACAATTTAACTGAATCTGTAGAATCTTTTCTATTCTGGGCAGACACAGAAATGATCTTAGAAGTAAAACCTTCTCTTGCTCCTGAAGCAACTTGTGTAGCCCTTCACAAGAAGTAATACAGACTCCCTCCTTTGCCTTATTCATGAAAAATATCAGCTTATGTCTTCCCAAATGGTAAAAGCAGGTTTGAGCTCTTGAACACAGCTCAGTAGCTAACACTTCTGTTTGGTGGGGGTTTCTGGTTTAGTTCTTGATAACTGCCAAGATGACAGCAGTCACGCAGAAAACTATTCAGGCTATACAGCAACAAAATAGCCTTGCTTTTCCTAAGTAGATTATCAGTCTTCAAAAGCTGCATACACTTACATTTTATCATTGATCATAACAGATCTGAAAGACGAAATGTAGGAGGAAAACCGTGTTCCTGACACGTGACTTGTAACATTTAAAAATACCTTCTAATGGGGCAAAAGAACAGATTAAAGTGATTTTCCCATATTACCCAGTTTCCATACAAACAAACATGTCTGGGAGGGACGCAAAATCATTCTTACAGCAAACATGGTTTGTAATAGTGCTAGCTATTTGAAGCCTTGTGATTAAGTGCCTGGACGAGCACTTGCCTAGATTATCACTAAGATACCCTGATGTGTAAGAGCAATAGGTTTCACACAGTAAGAAAGACAGTCCACATGAGATGTGGTGGTTGTATAGAGTACGCCTTCCTTTCTCTAGCAGGACGGTGACAAGGGCCCAGCCAAGCTCAGTACTCCTGCACTACTGTTTTTCTCAAAAATATTCAAGCAGGTTTGAAGCATTTCTCTCATTCTACTCATCTGCCAGAATCTAGAGGATAAAAAGTCAGAACAATACCTCTGCTTTCCCTCCCACCCCAGTTATAAACCAGATACTTCAGTACAGTCCTGGAGTATTGCAGTGCCACTGCTAAGTACCACTGTTCAGGTAGGGCATTTAAACATATTGAGTTAGTCATTGTGTCCCCAGGGAATAAGACAGGGCAACAAAAGCACACATAAAACAGTCAGTGCAGTAAGTCCTTACCCATAGAGTATTCTCCTACAAGGTACTCTTTAACCTCTGACTTGCTGCTGCTGTGCACTGTTTCCAGGGCACTGAACAGGGGTCTCCATCCTGACTGGATCTGGGTAGAACACATTTCCACCAACTCTCCTATAGAGGTGACCACCTGCAGACAGTGTAGGAGAGGTTAAAAGAATAAACCAAAAAAACCCCCCTGATACATAGATGAACCTTCAGAAGGAATGAGGATGGCTTTAAACACATTTCTAGATTTCACTAAGTCAGTCCAGATGAATTTTTTTTTTTTTTTTTTTAGATAATAGAAGTTTTATTTAATTGCTTTAAAGCCAGGTGTTCTGTCTCTGTGGTCTACCACAATGCTGGATTGGGTCGGCAGAGCCCTCCTGATCCCTCAAAGATAATTAGGGGGCACCATTTGAAGGGAATTTGGGAAACACTCTCAAGTGGACCAAGTGCACTCTGGAGACCATTCTTCTTTTGGGCATGGTAGGCCAGATACAGACACCCAGTTCAGGGCTGACTTGCCTGGTCTTGGACATCCTCATCACACAGCTCTAGCTGCATGATACGCTCAAAGGGGCGGAAAAGCGCCTCATTAAAGTGAAAATGAGAAGGCTCATTCCAATCCGTCAGCACTTCAGTGAGGATGTCATGGATGAAGGAGACAGCCTTCCGAGACACGTGTCTCTCCTTATGACAGGCAGCCTGCAGGGAAAGGAGGAGTATTAGAGTTTGTCCAAGCAAAAAATTTGATTTTAGTGAGACACTTTTAAGGGAGGTAAGCACTTCATGTTGCTGAACCCTAAAAACGGCTTCACAATTAATGTGACTAGGGACCCTGCTGTGAGGAAAATGGGAGAGTACTGCCATGGAAAAAGATGACTGAGACTCTGAGCTGCTTGAAGTCCCACAGATGCATGAAGGTTTGCTGACAATTCAAAAAGCACAGAGTTAAAAATAAATAAATTAAATAATAAACCCCATAGAACAGAACTCATGTGAAATGTTGTCTTTTGTTTCTACCGTGTGACCATTTTTCCCTTCAAAAAGGTAGTTTCTGCATATATTCACCATATCTATCTATGCATGACCAAATGTCACTTTTTATTTGGCTATTTACGGAACTTCAAGTGAGAAGGTTCTCATCACTTTTGGAAGAGCTATTAAAAAATTAAACACCAGTGAATCTGGATATAAGAGTTGCTCTGTTTTGAGCAACTGTGCAGGTTATGCTAAATTCTGTCCTTTCCCTGATGTTGTTCCTTCCCAGTAATGCCCTCATCTGCACTGAAGTCAACCAAAAAGACTAACCAGCCCTGCATTCTAAAAACATGGGACGTACTTGAGTTTAAACTGGCTTGGGGTGTTCAAAACATGAGAAGCATTTAAATTGATCTCAGGCTGGCATCCAAAGGCAAGTGAGGCACTAGTTTTCAAGATAAAAGGCTGCTAAAGCATACAACAAAACTATTCTCTGCTATTTCTACTTCACTTAGTGGGGTTCCACTGAGACTCCCCAATGTCTGAACTCTGCTGTAAGATAGTCCACACATTATCTTGAGTCAATGAAATGAAATGCTATGGCAATTTACTGAACAGCTCATCTTAAAACTCCAGAGAAGCATGCTCCCTATAGACCTGGGCAGATGACACCACATACCTCACCAACAGAAAGAAAGGAAGTACTGCACATTTATTCACACCAGTGATACAAATCAAAAAGCTCTGAGAAGTCAAGACACCTGCATTTCACCAGATAAGACTGAAAGTTTGGCTGAGGAAAGGTCATTCGTTATGACTGAAATCCATTATGTGGCTGCTACTGGCATGCCACTGACCAGGGTTCACAAGGAAGGAGGATGAAAGGGAAAAATGTCACCATCTTCCCAGTTGAACTGCCTTTTGTGGGAAAAGAAAGCCTGCATCCTTTTATGGGAAGACTTGCAAGGATGCAGACCTTGACTGGGAAAACAGGTAGACAGAGGAGTTACTTGTAACCTCTTAGGGTGGTTTCAGTTTTTTCACCACAGCCACACAGGAAGTATTGTAGTGCAAAAATCCAACACACTGTCTCTGGACCTGCCCATTTCAGTTATTTAAAAGTGCACTCCTCAGTGGCAATACCACAATATATGACACAGTATATACAGTACCTCAACAGGATTGTAACCATATTTGACAATGTTGAGGGTTGCTATACATGTTAAGAGCTATCAAGCTTTCCCCAGCTTTTTCAGCTTTGCCATCTCTTGCACACATTCCCATTTTCTCTCCCACTCCTACCTCTACAAGGTGAGGTGCCACCAGGCTCCAGCAGCGCATAAGGTGGAGCAATGGGCGAGATTTACTCCTTACAATTCTGAGCATGGCATCACCAAGTCGGAACAAGTGAAGTGCACTTCTCCTGTCCTGGGTAGATTTTACTTCACCTACAAGAAAGTATAAGAAAATAAATGGAAGCTAAGCAACACAGCAGCTCCTCCATCTCTAGATGTCTAAATTGGAATTTAAATCAGGTTAGAAATTATTAGTATTAAGTTGGGGGGGGTGGGCAGGGAGGATGGTGGAAAAAAAAAAAAGAAAAAAAAAAATCAATGTAAAACACAGCCTATGCCTGTGTAGGTAAAAGAACAGGAGATGGACCCAAGTTTTAAGAACAACTTATTAAACACACTTTATTTTGATTTAAGTAATCATTTTTTTGCAAACATTTTAAAGACAAGGGCTTGGAGAAGTAGTGTAGAAAAGTTAAGCAAGCAGTTAACTGATATTAAGACCCAAAATAGTAGTTTCAAAAACCTTTGGTGACATCTACAGGAAAGAATATAAACTGCAAATTATTTAGTTTTGGTTTGTCCTTTTGTATTTTTTATCAAGCAAAGGATATGAATGTAAGAAAATACTTTTCTGTTCCCCAGCCAGTAATACTTGTTATTTCCTATTGAAAGGGATTAATCTTCCATTGCTCTTACAACATTTGGAAAGCCACTTCAGTCTCTCATTTAAAATATGCTGCTGCTTTTATCTCTAACGAAAGATGTAATCGGGGACATACCACTTTTAATACTAAAAAAAAAGCAATTAATTGCTCTATCCTAATTTTCATTTCATTATTACTAATTACTGTTGATTGACTACTACAGAGATGATAAAAGGATCACTTTATTAAAAATAAAGTGATGAATGTTGAGGCCTGGAGACAAGCAAGAGCAAAAAATGAACAACTGTGTCACATTGAGAAAATGACAAGTAGCACTTCAGGGAGAGGCGAAACCGACTAAATTGGAGACATATACCAGATAAAATCCACATCTGCTACAGGACAGAACTAAACCTGTATGACTAATGTAACTTCTAAAGACACAGTACAACTTTAAGTGAAATATCTTCCTGTGGGACCAATACTTATGCTCTATTTGAGACAATTTACAGGCTTTGTAGTGTAAGGTATATGCTGAACTCTTCTGGGGAAGAGCAAGCAGGACAAATCCCACTGCTTTGTTTAACATTCTCTGGTTGTATGCTTTGTTTGCCATCACCCATTTTCTGAACACTTCTAAGGTTATCCCACTGTCAAATGTCTAACCTAAATACACTGTCTTAGGTCTATGTTCACCCAAGTTTCCTTACTGGATCAGGATCCAAAATGGAGCTGTGATTAAATATCTGTGGATAATTAACACCCCCAAAGTCCAAGAACCAAATGAACGTCCTCTGATGTGTTTCATAGCAGGTGTGGATGTGGTCCCTCTCCAAAAAAAGCACTCAACCTTTTCTAAAGACTTTGAATTGCTCCTACAGAAAGATCTTAGACTAAATACTGTGTTTTATTTATACCTTGAAATTTCAATCGGAAAAATTAAAACTGTAAGAATACAAAGCAAGTCCTGTAAGCAGTACGGTTGTATATGAAACACAGAACTCTGTAAGGGATCTTCAGGCAATTTACCTGGCATTGCTAGGGAGTAATCAACCGTATCTGTGACTGAATGGAAAAGCTGGGCCTGAGAAGCCTTCTTGAGCTGGTAAAGGAAGCCTGCCAATGCCATCAAGTTTAACTTGTCAGCAGCATCTTCAAAGAGTCTGTGAGTAAAAGAACAGAATCTAATTGAGAAATTCATGAGATACAGACTTAAATGTGTATGTAAGAGGAAAACGCTTATCTGTACATGGCTGCTATGTGTTGCCTTTGGTGACACACTGGGTTATTGAGGGTTTTTTCATTTATACAGAAAGACTTTGATCCAGAAGCTTTATTAATTAAAGGGTGGAAAGTAGGGTGCTGTAGGACCAGCCAGAACCGTTCCAAGATTCAACTCCAGTACTAAAACAAAAAGTCACTTCTTCAAGGAATCGATGCTTCCCCATTACTGTATCTTAATCCTATAAGCAGTTCATGAACCAGCAATCAAAAAAACAGTGAGAATATGCCCAGTCCTCACAATACAGACCATCATAGCTTCACTGACTTTAGAGTTACACCAGTTTGCTCCATTTGAAGTTACAGTCCCTTACATGAAGAACAAATTAATTTAAGTCTTAGACCTAAAATAGACCTCAGACCTTGCTGTACCTGAATTGCTATTTTGGAATATAAACAAGAGTTGTGATTTTCAGCTGCAATGAGCTCTTAAGGTTTAACAGTTAAAATCTGTACCCTTAAGCCAGTAAACATGCTTACATAGGAGGTGGGTTCCACAGAGATTACAGTGAAATTTCACATGGTGCAGCCACAAGTTGACACAAATTTGATTTTCTGACATTGCTTTTCATGAAAAACTTTCTATAGTCCTAGGAAACCAGGGATTGAGTCCTAATAACATCCACACTGAAGTACAAGTGCAGAAATCCGACTTGCATTGTTAAAATTACAGTACCTCTATTCTCTAATCCTTGGAACCAAGTTGTATTGTGAGCTTCCTAAATAAAAGGTACTTCCCATGCACAGAGTCAAACTCCTAGAAGCAGTGTCGGTATGCATTATTTTTTTCTCTGAATTTATAAATAACACCCTCCTACGGGCAGAGATCAAGAATGTAAAATGTCAGCTGGAGAAAAAAGGTTATTAGAAGCATGCAAACTCAGGAAATTTTCAACTCTAGCCTGGGCTGCCAAAAGAGTAGCAGAAATAGTGAAAAAGTCTGTGATATGTAAGTCTGCAGTGTGTTGTAGGGACATTTAACCTAGCCGTTCTGTGACCACGCTTGGTGGCCCTTCCTCCTCTGGACATGCTGGGGCAGGCTGACAAGCTGTCCACACAGTCCTGGCACAAGCAGCTGCTTTCTAACTGACACTGGTCCTGTCACTCAATCCCTTCCTGTCAGGACAAGACACCCCTTTATTTTGTCTGCTTTAATGAACACAACAGATTAATTTACACGCAAGCAATAAATCCACCACTCTCAGGATGCACTTGATTTACTTGGCATATTCGCTGTTGCGCAGACATACTCAGCCCAGAACCTGCAAGGCAGGTACTGCAGAGATGCAGAAAACCAGGTTGTTTAGGAAGTGCTGGTTGTGATGCACATGCAGCTCTCTTATGAAACTCAACTGAAGCAAGTGGCTGCAATAGACAAAGATAGGGCCCCACTGAACCACAAAAAGGTCAATTTTGGTCCTGTTTTGAGAACAAGGATTCTGGTTCCTGACAGCGCTGCTTTTACCTGTCAGCTTGTGTGGAGAGCGTGAGAACAGCCTTGGCAGCGCTGTTCCCACACAGCAGGCTGCCTCCACGGAAGTCAAAAGCTCTGCCCTTACTGCTCTCCTTGATGAGTTCCTGGATAGAAACCGGCTGAATGACAGGATTGCTGCTGAGGGTGGTCTCCTGCTCAGGGGTCAGTGCGTGGGGAGACTCCCCAGGCTCAGAGTCTGGATGCAGCCCTCCAGGTGCCTGCTGTGACTGGGTGATGGTAAGGGAAGGCTGGGAGGCACCATCACTGAAGTGGGTGTGCTCCAGTGTGCTGATGTACTCACACACCCTGGGAACAAACAGGAGAAGGAAAAAGATGAAAAAAACCCCCACCCAAACAACAACTCCTCCCACCCCTAATCACCAGGCTCACTGAAGAAACGCTTGGGTCTGTACTCCAGAGGTGACTCAGAAGGATAGTGCAAGTACAGCTCTTGGCTGCCTCACAGCCCCATCACTGTGAGCAGTCAGCTTACATTGAAACCCACTGCCAATTCGCAGGCACCAATTTATACATCTGAACCAGAGATGATGCACAGGACATTTTCCTAAAACCGTAAACAGACAATCTCTAACTCTCCACACATAGATAACCTGTCGTCTTACATCCTTTGGCCTCCCGTGTGCCTAGATAGCAAATAGTTTAGCGGAGGTGCCTGAAAAGCCCTGGGTCTGCCTGAAGTGAGAAGTTCCTGGGTCTGTCACAGTCTTCTGGTAACTTTGAACTTTCTAAGCATTGATTTCACCTCTGAATAGTGGTGGAAAACAGCACTGTCTTTTCTCTTACAGATACTGGCAGTTAATTCACTCTGACACTTTATACAGAACACTCCCAGAGCACATAAAGTCCTTTTCCTCAGTCCGTTATTTTCAGGCAACACGGTATAAATTGTGGGGGTTTTGGGAAAACTGGTGAGTACCTGAACACATGAGGCCAACAGTCCTGATTGTGGCTTCCCATCTCCAGGCCCACGTTAAGGACTGCATCCATACACAAAACATGAGCAGTATGCAGGCAAACTCCCTGCACTTTCCCCATCTGCTCCAGTTTCTGCTCCACTTTCTGTTTCACTGCAGCATAAAAAAATAAAAAAAACCATTAGCTTCTTCAGCTTTTAAACAAACACTGGTTTGTATATAGGGTGGCAGCAAGGGTATGGAGTCTGAAAGCTATAAAAGAACATGGATTTTAGACAAAAAACAAATCAGAGAAACCCATTTCTTCCTAATAAACATCAGGCAGTTTTAAAATTGAAATCTCTTTTGACTGATCTTATCTACATGAAAAAAAAAAAAAAAAAAATCAATGCCAGATTGACACCCTCCACCCCCAGATTCACATCTTGTTGCCCACAGAACAGATGCAGGTTGCCAGTGATATTATGTTTCTCTTTGGAGCTGGCTGGCTGGCTGTTTATTTATTTTTACCAAAATCTCCTTTGCTATGGAAAAAAAAAAGAGTCTGCAGATTTCATATCTATTTCCATACAAAAGTTTGTTAACGGATACTCTTGTCAAAGCAAAACTAATCCTGATCTGAGCTACAAGCATTCAGACCTCGTTTTTTTTCCTGAGAATCTCTGAAAAGCTTAGTTTTCATGCTGCACTGGAATAGAAACAAGTTTTGAAGCTTTGCAAGCTTTCATAGAACAGATCTGTTGGCCTCTGGCCACCGCTACTGCCTCCTCTTTGCTTCGGCGTGGCCTGGCCAACTTGCTTCAGTCATATCTAGCAGAGTGGTCAAAAGCTCGTTTGTGCTCAGGCCTATTCAGTTTTGTTTCCTCTACCAAGACACCAAATTTAAGTGCCAAGCAGGGTCATTTGTGCAACACTCTGTTTTGTTATAGGCTTCTTGCCATTAGAAATCAGATGTCATCAGACATTGGAGACAACAATTGACTTTACTGACTTCCACTGGGTTTGAAGTAGTGGTATATGTATAGAACTGCACAAATTTTTACATGTTATAAATATATATTTTTATTCCCACTTCATTTAACATGATTCAGAAACAGTTTTAAATATCTGATGATGACAAAAGACAACCAAGGATGTATACACAAGACAGGGAGAGGGACGCACACTCAGCTTATATTACCACCCAACACCTTAAAACAAAAAAATTTTTCTCTGATGCCCTCTGGTTGTACTAGTATCACAAGGCTTAAAAGGTGCACATTTCAATAATGCTATTGCCTTTTCTGTTCCACTGATTTCAGTCCCATGTAATATACAATTAGTGTGACATAATGTTAAGAATCTAGGACAGCAGGACATGTACTGAAGCCTCCAGACATACATCCCATATGCCTACAAGTGCATGGTGCACAGTAGTGGCATTCCCCTCTTGTCCTTCTGTGTGTAGCAAAGTACTTTCCAGTTGCATGTTTGCAGGCAATGTGAGATAAGGTAGGTAATTTAATCACATAGTTACCTTGAGCTATAGTATCACTGGGCTCTTGGATTTCTTTTTCTTCTTTCTCTTCTTGGACACAGGAGGCAGCAGCCATTTGGGCAAGAGCAGATGCACAGTTAGCAGCAACTCCTGTAAAGCAACAACATTAATTACCTGTTTAACCAGCATCTCCTCCCCAATCCCATGCAATCTCAACAACAGGTTGTGTCAAGGAAAGTCAGCTGGTCTATGCTGTAGGGCAGGTGCGCTCTATGGGGACTCTATGGGGAGTCCTACAGTCCATGTTCCTATCCAAGACTGGAATAGCATGCTGCTTTTCTTTCTCCCAAATTCCTTCAAAGAAAGTTGCCATCCTATTTTATGAGTCTGCCATGACATCCTGCATGCAGCAGTACCTAGGGCACAGCTCAGCCGGGCTGCCCTCCTCAGTCCATCCAGGCTCACGCAGATGGAGTCCCTCTCCTTTTGGTTCTGCTCCTTGGCTCCTTCTGCTCCCAAGATGAAGGCGAGCCCCTTGGAGCTGCCTGCCATGCGGCCAGTCAGTGGTGTGGACAAAGTGTCAATCAAGTTCTTCCAACAGCCGATTAAAAGGTATCGGGCAAAAGCAACTCCTGGAGTGAGAAATGCATTACTACTACTACTAGAAAATGACACAACAGTAGCTTTATCATCAGTAGTAAAAGACCAAGTCATATTTGTCCTCTGTATGCTGGACTACCAATTCATGTGTAGGATGTACTGACATACTTCTCTCAACCCTTAAATTGTTGTTCTAAAACACAATTTATCTGAATAGTCTTATTGTACATAACAACCCACTGCTGGTAAATACACTTGGGCTTATAATACAGTCTTAATACCTGCAACAACAGAATCATCTGTCTTCCGGTTTTGGGAAAGAGGAGATTGAGTTGAAGCAGATGCCATCAATTGGCCACCAATTGCACTGCTTCCCAGGCCATCAATGTCTGCCAGAACATTAAAAAACAACAGATTACTATTCGACACACAGATGGTATAAGGAAAGCATCTCCTACTGGCTCTTTGTTCAAATAAGTACTAGCACTCCTGACTTTTCAGATATGCTTTTTAGTTGCTCTCTTCTGAAGCCTTGCCATAAACATGAGCCGTGGCATCTTAGGCTTTGCCCAGTATAACCAACACTTTCTTGAAGAGGGGAAATATCCCACTCAACAGCCCCCCCCCTCCCTGACAAAGTTACACAGTCAGCAGGACTCTTAGCAAAGATTTCATGGTATTTCTTACAGTTCAGAACTTCCCATACCCTTAAATCTCCACAATTCTTAGTATATAACCTTTCAAAACTTGCTAAATTCTGTATCTAGCTGTTCCCAGACCTCAGTCTGAGTCCTGAAGTTGCACTGGGATCCTATGTCCTAAATGCAATTTTTAGTAGACCTATGTAGGTTCAATCTCAACAAAAGAAATACAACTCTTTCTCCAACACAACAAAAGACCAGCTTCTCACAGAGAGTTTAATGTTAGGGATGTCAGGTTGTATTTCCTTTCTAGCAGCCCCTGTGTGTCTGTCTCTTCTCCCCATACTTCACAGCTATTGTTTTTCCAAAGTGTTTTTTTCAGCTTCCCATCTCAATAGCTAAAAGCAACACTGAGCTCAATACAATCAGCAAAAAACTTTCAGAGTAGTGCCCTTTGATTACCAGTTAATGGCTCAGCTGAAGCCAGTGTTCTCCCTGCATACACTGTTTTAATTTACCTCTTTGTAATCATACAGTATACACATTCAAGCAGACAGTGCATTTTATATGAATACATAGACATCCTGCTGCCTTTCAGCCGATACAATTTGTTTTTTTCCCTCAAATGAAGCTAAAGATTGTTTTTAAGCATTTGTTAGAGATGCTCCAGATTTTCAGCTTCTCTCTAGCACCATTTGGCATATCCCTGGCATAGCACAAATCTGAACCAAGGGGAGTCCAATCTGTGGACAGCTTCCAGGATCAGACGCCACCGTTTATATTTGTACTGCACCACAGGCACACTGAAATGGCTTTGCTATGACATCAAGCAAGCAGCAGCCTTACCACTTATCATTAACAGGTACCAAGTCTACCAGAACTGAAGCTGACAGAATTAAGAGATGTTTTGGTTCAATGAACAAACCTACTCTCCCTGTCTCCCAGGGACAGTTTGTCTTTAATCCCATGCTTCAAAAGCTTTCTGTCTGATCCAAAACAAACACTTAAGTACCTGCCACAGTTAAGTCTGATTCCTTCTCTACTGGTTATTTTGTGAAACACCATGTGTTGCATGATGACATGCTGTTCTGTATGTAATGCAATGAAGCAGCGCGTTATTGTAGCTTGTTTTAGACATGTGTTTGGAAGTTAGCCTTGCCACTGTAACGTAGTACTGACCAGTCAGCATGGTGATAAGTGGAAGGCTGTGCTCTTCAGGGCTTCCCCAGTATCCAGCTTCCCCCAGCATGTTCCTTTCTAGTACTTGGTGGTACAGTTCTTCAACCCAGGCCTGTGAAAATACCATCAACACCCCGCTGGACTGGACCTGCTTCATGAACTCCTTCTGCAGAGAACCATAAAAGCCAGATGTAAGACAAAAGTAAGCCCTACAGCATGAGTTTCAGCCCCTAAATCTACTCCTAAGCATAAGGGAATGCAGCAGTAGAAATGAAGTTATGCAAAAATAAGAATTAACAGAGGATCGCAGTGTCTCTCTATAGCAGAGAATGGCATGAATAAGGAGCTTTCCCTTCTCTTATTGCAGTTCATGCAAGATGCAAATCATAATGACAGTTCTTGCACAGTGACAATGGGACATACTGATCTCTCACTATTTCCACAAGGTAGGGGTCTCAAATCCAACAAAAAGAAGTTGTGGCACCTAATGCTGCCTGTCCAGCAATGGGGCCCTTCTGCATTGAACAGTCACCACAGATGAACTGGGGTCCACTTAGATATCTGAACTATTTTCAACAATACTTAGGTCATGCTCAGGCCTGTTGTGCACAGTGCTCCCCCTAGAGAAGGTTCACAGATTTGCTCTCACAGGTGCTGAAGAACATACCAGAACTGACAACGATGTTAAAACCCACTTGTTTCTGACATCTTCTGGAATATAAATTCTCTTACATGGGAAGCTCAGCAATAATGGTATATTTTGACAGAATTTTTTTGTTTTTTTCATTTTTTGGTTCCATATATCCCTGATTTTTTTATTTTTAGGAAAACTCTGAAACAACTTCTCTTGGGCATCTTAGTCGAAAAAACATAGATTCATATTTTATAACTCTTGCAGCCTTCAAAACAATTTTTAAAAAGCCCATGAATCTAAGGAATCCCAGGTGCCACAAAAATCATAGAATCATAGAATGGTTTGGGTTGGAAGGGACCTTAAAGATCATCCAGTTCCAACCCCCCTGCCATGGGCAGGGCCACCTTCCACTAGATCAGGTTGCTCAAAGCCCCATCCAACCTGGCCTTGAACACTGCCAGGGATGGGGCATCCACAACTTCTCTGGGCAACCTCTTCCAGTGCCTCACCATCCTCACAGTAAAGAGCTTCCTTACATTTAATCTAAATCTTCCCTCCTGCAGTTTAAAGCCATTATCCCTTGTCCCATCACTACATGCCCTTGTAAAAAGTCCCTCTCCAGCTTTCTTGTAGGCCCCCGTTAGGTACTGGAAGGCTGCTGTAAGGTGTCCCCAGAGCCTTCTCTTCTCCAGGCTGAACAACCCCAACTCTTCACAGGAGATGTGCTCCAGCCCTCTGATCATCTTCATGGCCCTCCTCTGGACTTGCTCCAAGAGGTCCATGTCCTTCTTATTTTGGGGGCTCCAGAGCTGAATGCAGTGCTCCAGGTGGGGTCTCACGAGAATGGAGTAGAGGGACAGAATCACCTCCCTCAACCTGCTGGTCACACTTCTCTTGATGCAGCCCAGGATACGGTTGGCTTTCTGGGCTGCGAGCGCACATCGCTGGCTCATATTCAGTCTTTCATCCACTAACACCCCCAAGTCCTTCTCCTCAGGACTGCTCTCAATCCACTCATCACCCAGCCTGTATTTGTGCTTGGGATTACCCCGACCCATGTGCAGGACCTTGCACTTGGCCTTGTTGAACTTCATGAGGTTCATACAGGCCCACCTCTCACACCTGTCAAGGTCCCTCTGGATGGCATCCCATCCCTCCAGCGTGTCAACCGCACCACACAGCTTGGTGTTGTCAGCAAACTTGCTGAGGGTGCACTCAGTCCCACTGTCCACGTAGCCAACAAAGATGTTAAACAGTGCCAGTCCCAATACCAGCCCCTGAGGAATGTCACTCATCAGTTCATATGACTAAAACCTAATTATTTTTCACTCAATCTTCTCATGTCTTCATCTGCGTAAATACAAATCAAGTATTAAGCAAGAATTTGTTGTTATGCTCAAAAGTAGTTGCAAGATGAAGGTATGTCCCTTGATAATGTGCGTGAACAATACTTGCTGTTATCACATGATGCTAATGAAGATCTCTTCTGAAGATAGAGTATCCATCAGAATGACTGCTACTTTAATGATAATCAGTAAGCAGCATTCATTCCCCCCCAAATTACAGAGAAGCTGTGTAATTCAGATGCATGACATTTATCATGCAAGATTCATAAGCAGCTTGGAGAACACTTAATTTGCAATTATTATTTCTCTACTTAGCAAGCAGCCTGAAGGCTTTACGTGTGGGCTGTTTTATGTGAAAGGTAGCGAAACAAATTTTCTTTTTTTAACAGTTTTCCCATATTCCCCAACTCACCAGCAACACAGGGGCTGGGGTAGGCTTCTTCCTGTAGTAATCCGAGTTGGCCAATTTTAGGTTGAGCAGCAGAGTGTAATGTGAGACCATGTAGAGACTGTCTGCATTCATCAGAGTCTGGAAGCTGAAATTTAGGTTTCCCTCAAATCCTGGTGAGTGCATCATACCTAACAAAAACACCATGTGAGCTCTCACATTTTACACAGATTTTGCCTGGGAAAAAAAAAATCAGAAACTAACCCTAGCATTTCAGCAGCAACAGATTGCTAGAATAGTTAATGAATCATCAGTAGAAATTACTCTACTAAATGTGCTAGAGTAGGGAATAGAAAAGTAGTCCATCTAGAATGCAGTGCTGCAAGGCAAACTGAACACTCCAGTCACAGTCCAGCAAAGCAACATGCTAAATTTGAAATACACAAGGAGCACCAGCATTCATTGGGATGATTGCCAGGTACAAAGCAAAGGGCAGGATACATCTGCAATGCTAACTGGAAAGGTGAGGTGGGAAGAGGCAGAGGCAAAGCCTTCGTACTTAACTGAGCATATATTGCACCAAATGGTGTTAATGAGAGTGACAACCCTTTTAACCCTCCAGTAAATCTGTCCTGGCTGAGTGAGTTGTTGGATGGGGACTGGAGTGCTCAGCACCTTGCAGGATCAGGCTGTAATCATCATTCTCTCCCTGGCCTAGAGTTATGTGGACAAATCTGGGGCCAAGCTGGCTGGAACTCATTACAACTCCAAGCCCTGTTTAATTCATAAAAGACCTGCTTTCTAGGTAGCTGAGGACTTGCAGCCCTGTCAGACCCATAAGCCACCTGTAAGCTCTCAGTACTCCTGAAAACACTATTTGTATGAAACGACAACCTACAACCATGCCCAGTGGCACAACCCTCTTCCCAGGTAGGACGGACGGCACATACATTTTCCCCTGAGTTAACTGACCTACTGGTAGAAACGCATAAATCAAGTATGAGCAATACCTACTTGAATCCCCATGAAGTGTAATTTGAGCCACGAAAAAACCAGAAATATTAGACCTCCCACCATGACCCATAATATTTCATGGTTTTCACATCAGCTGTGAAATCCATTCATATAATGTCAATTAGGGAAGATTAAGGAGTAAGCTTTATCCTAGAGGAACGTTTGAAATGAAACAAGAAAACAGCTTCCAAGGTTAGTTACATGATGAAGCAAAGCTGTGTCATTTGTTAACTGCTGCAGTGGTTTACTGTGAACATATTCCTCCCACCATAAAGCTCATACCTCTTCTTAGACAAAATACAACAAACCATTAACATATAAATAAAAAAATTAAAATCCACACACAGAAAAGAAGCAAATGTTTTTCTTGCCTCGTGAGGGTTTGAAAGCTCTGTGCTGCTGCCTTCTCGGACTTTCCACTGTCGTCACTTTGGGGGCGTGGATAAGGTGAGTAACTGTTTGAGGGCGGATTTAGAAAGAGAGTAACTGTTCCAGGGTGGGTCTAAAAAATGAATAGCTGTTCAAGGGAGCAACCTTTGTGGAAGAGGGGTGATAGGACTGGCCACAAACCATACCCGCACGGGTTGGCACGTGCTTGGGGTAGATTTCTCGTGGTCAACTTTAACAGAGAATCTTTACCTAGTAGCAAAACTGCAACCACATGCTTGAAAGTAGCCTGTGAGTAGCTCCAGTGACTCCCTCATCACTGAAGGCAAAGATGCATCTTAACGCTTTTTTGGATGGAGGATCATGATATTGATGTAGCTAGAATATATTGATTTGATGCCTTATCTCTCTTAAATATGTACCTCGGGGACTAGAATCTGCTAGAGTAATAAAAACCTCAAGGCAGAGAGGCATGTAAAAGAAAAAAAAAAAGCCCACTTTATTTTGCGTTAAAATATTTAAAAAATTGTGCAACCTCCTATACGAGACTACAATTAAAAAGGAAGGTGTATAACTGCACATAAAAGTGGCTACTACATAGTGGGTATGTATTTGAGCACCCAAAAGTGTTTCAGAAAAATATGGTCCCTAATTTCCTCTAAAATATGGTAAAATAAACAACTGCATTTGAGAGATGTTGAGATCTCAAAAGCAGAAGATTAGCTGATGTGTAAACTTGCAATGACGCTTACCAACATAAAAACCTTGCCGCTAAAAGCTATGGAATCGAAACTGAAAAGAGGTGCTAAAAATGTTTGCTATAATTATTCACACAATGGCACACAATTTTGAGAATTAATGCCTTGACACTGCAGTTCTTGAGAATAGTTATGTCCGAACTAAGAGAATACTGATCATCAACTTTAATTATAAAAATCTGCCAGCTATAATAAACAATGATGTTAGCACACTGTCTTAACAGAGACAAGTTCATTTTAACTGGCCAGGTAGAAGGAGGTCCTGAAAAAATGCAGACTTGATGTTTTGTGCAAGTCAAGATAATGTTGAAAATTTTTACATAATTTGGTACTTTTTAAAAGAGACATCACACTCCAGTGTCACTAAGGAATTTTTTGGCACTGGTTTTATCTAGCAACAAAGAAGAACTTTCTGAGGAAAGATGAAAACTGTAGATTAGGAACACTTTTAACCAACTGACTTCCAAATCTTAATTTCACTTTAACTCTGCTTAGCTGACTTCACTTTTTCCATGCTTACACTCCCATGCCAGTGCCTCAAAGTTCTCCTTCCTTTCATTGCTTTTGAATCCTATGAAAACATAATAATATTACAATACTATTTAAGGACCTAGCTTGTAGGAAAGACTATTAAAATTGTAGCTAATGTATTTTTCCCCCAAAGTTTAAGAAAAATTGAAAAATGAAAGAACGCAGTTAAATATAAGGTCTCTCAGAAAACACAAAAAACCTGCTTCTGTACTGGCTGGTCTCAGAACTGCACCTGTCTCTTTTCTCACCTTGAATCTTAACCAATACTCAAATTTCCTAATGTATTCTTCAGGAGTTACACATGAATAGATGTTGTACATACAATGACTAGGACCAGTTCCTCTAACTTCACCAATTAATTTGTGCCTTGAATTGTTTGTGCTAACGAAGGAGTCCTGAAATAAGGACTCAAATGTTGCCTATAGAAGCAGATCAGGCTGGTGTCTTAGAAGCTCTCCAGGGCAAGTTCCTACCCCCAGGCGTGTTTCAGCTTTAGTAAATCTGTCTCTCTCGACAGGTCTTCAAGCTCATGCCTCTCTCATGTACACAGGAACACAAGTCATCACCTCAGGAGGACTGACAGACTTTACTTAAGATCTGAGGTACAAGTTAAGGGAGCGTTTCAGCTGCACTGAATCTCATTCCAGGTGTCCAACTGAAACATGAACTGCATAGATCTTGTGAGAGCATGAAACTACAACCCTTTAACAGCCACAGCTCTATGAAAACATCAGGATACCTCTTCCAAGCTATTTTAATACAGTAACCTGCTACTTATTTTTCCATGATTCCTTACTGAGTGGCATCTTCCAAGATCACTTCACCAAATCAGACTGGAAACATGGTGTACATTTTTAAGTACAGATTTAGCCATGGGGGTGGCTTTCTTAGGAAAGTGAAAGGTCTTTCTCAACTCAACAGTCTAAGTCCAAGATTAGGTATGGTTTTAAGAGAGATGTACAAACCAGAAATTATGGACTTAATGCAGAAATTGAGTGATATTCTTCCATCTTTCTCACTGTAGTAGTCATACTGAATGACAACAAAAGCCGCATTTAGCCTTAAAATCTAGAAGTCTGCTAGGTCTACCTCTTCCAATGCTTTAAAATGTTCTAAAGGGACTTGATAGACAAAAGGGAAAAGAGGCACTATACTCATTCATGCACGAGGGAACAGGTGCACAGAAGTTTGAACTAGAGTTCTAGTCCTGGTCTTTTGTCATAACCTCAGGATCACTCTTTTTCAGGAAGAAGAAATCCCTTGTGACAGAAAGGATGCTTCTGAGCGCCTCAATTAGGAATGTATTTAATATTAATGTCTCCTTTAAGATATCTCCTTTCTGTGATATAACATGGCCAATGTTTCTTAAGAATGTCATCTACCACATTCCTGAGTTAGGGCTTATTTGGGCCGCATTTAAACAGGATATCAGGAGTATCAGCTTATTCACCCAGCTTCATATCTAAATTATGCTGTATGATGATGGGAGGCATCCTTCTGACTCTGTATGAGTTTAATGTGTGTGAGAGCACAAATGAATGAAGCAATGATGAGGAGAAGAGCAATAGGAAAGGCAATTGTGGTGAATTAAGTGAAACAGAGAAATATATTTTAACAAACATTTCCACTTTGGCCACTGTCAGGAAAAAGAAACCCTTCTAAAAATATATATATTTACACACATTTAAATATACTACCGACAGGACAAACTAGCCTTTGCATGGCATTTTTTTGTTTGATTGACCAAATGAAGATCCCAAAGGTTCTAACTCTGAAAGAACTGCAGGCATTTATTCTCTTAAAAGGTAAGATCTTTAACTATTTTTAACTTGGTCTGGGCTTTGAGCTTTGCATTTCCTGTCATGATAGATAGCAGTATTAAGAAAAACAAAAGAGTGAAGAAGAAGAGAGTCACTCCTCTTTTCTTATCCTTTCAGGAGTTTACTGCTGTAGAATTTTTATCACCTTCTTCACAAGGCTGGCATTACTAATAGTAATGCAGTGATGTACTAAGCTACTCAAATCTCTTTCAAAACAGGTGATGGTCCTCCCCACACCCTTTTAATGCCAAGGGGCAACCCCAACCTCTCTTTAATGACAGCAGGTGCAAATCTTCTCAACAGATCTCCACAAACCTGTGAAGAGGTATCTTACTACAGAAAATTCGATTTCTCTATTGACTGAGGACATAATCCAGAGCCTGTTAAAAGTCGATGCACTGACCTCCCTTTGAATCAGTGCTTGCATATTCGATTTGCTTTGCCCTAAATGAAGTGTGCTGCTGTGGAGGAACGTGCTCTGTAAAGCACAAACTTCCTTATTCTGGCTATGTTCTCTGAAGATGAAATCCTACAAGAGAATCTGTGTACAGTGCTGTCACAGTGTGCATGCTGGTTAGACAGTAAATATTTGCTTGCAAACCTGAGCAGAATGTTGAAGAGAAGCTCTGCAGTGCTCCATCCACCTCCTCTATGCTGGGAAGAGCTATAAGCCGAGGAAGAAGAGCTTCAAGCGACTGGATAAACAGCCGAGCACTATGCTGGTCTGCTTCTTGGTTCTTCAGCAATTTCAGAGAGAGAGCAGCAGTACGTAAGGACCTGTGACCTGGACAATCCCGTGGTGTCTGCTCCTCGTCAGCCAGGGAGCAATTGTCAGAGCCTATGTCTGAGACATCTGACCTGCCTGAGTCCTTCTCTGCTGCCATGGAATACTGATCGCATGAATCAAACTCAGTCCTAGAAAGGTCCTGGTCATCTATGCTGAAATTACTTTCACTGTATCTGGATCCATAAGACCTGGTCTTACAATCAACTGATAAGAAGTTAGTTATATCTGGATAGACTATGGTGTGGCTTCTCTGAACAACATCTGGCTGGTCGATGATTTCTGACTCTGGTTCTCTATAATGAATCTCTTTGCTTTCATGTCCAGCTGGAGATGGCAGTGAGTTTTTTTGACTTTCTGGATTATCCTCTGGAGTTGTCTGTCCCATATCCCCTTCCAAAGTGGTCTGACCAGTGTCTGTGGTAACGCTAATGCTGATATCAGGACTCTTCTCGTTTCCTGATTCCCAGGCAGGATTTTCTGAGGACAGGATGCGTCTCTGCCACCTGAAGTCAGCATCATTGATCTCCATGGAGTCCCTGCTCGTCTCAGTCCCATCCTTCAATTCTTCTAAGCGTCGGAGCAGCAGCTGGGTCTGCTCTTCACTAAGACCCCTCCCTTGGCTCAGCTCATCTAATGCTCCAAGCAGGGCAAAGACACAGGACACTGAAGCATAACAGGCTTCAATACCACCTTTGATGCATGCTTCCGTCATCCCATCCATGATACTATAATTAAAACAGAGTTTATTTAAGTGATGCAGCACATATAGCGAGCACAGGTCACTATCATCCAACACTATCCCCCATAACCAGGAAAAAAAAGAAGTGAAATTATCCTTTAAAACTACTCCTGAGAAAGACAACACTAGTATTAGAACAAATTACTACGTCTCCCATGTGGACATGGCCATTCTGTAAAGGGAGTGCCAACCAGCAACACAGTTACCCTGCATTTGCACCAACGCACAGAGCATGTTTTCCCTTACAGACAAGCATTTACACTGTAAAAAACCATCAACACCCAACTGAAGCTAATTTTAAAGCCATCTGTGTCCGGAAAATTATCTTCTCCTCAAGATATGATCTTTGTAAAAACTAAGAATCCTTCTTGCTCAATCTGGCAACGTTTAAATTTTCAATTACCTCCTTTGACTTCATCTTGGAAATGTACCTCTCAATAAGCACACAGTTATTTCATTGCAAAGTTAGGGACCCAAAGCCAAGAATTTCCAGGTGTAAACCAACGTATTTGGGTATTTTGGCAAACTCCACAAGGTAGTTATCTATGCCTTTACAAACAGGCCCAGACTGACAACAAACCTGTAAGAGCTTTTACCCCTCTTCCATTTTCACAGCTTATTTAACTAGGGAGATACCCTGGCTCATATTTGGCTGTGCTTCTGAAGTGTCATGGTTTAACCTGAGCCAGCAGCTAAGCACCATGCAGCCACTCGCTCACTTCCCCCCCCTCCCACAGTGGGATGTGGGGGAGAATCAGGGAAAAAAGTAAAACTTGTGGGTTGAGATAAAGACAGTTTAATAGGACAGAAAAGAAGAAAATAACAACAATAATAATAGTAGTAATAATAATAATAAAAGAATTGGAATATACAAAACAAGTGATGCACAATGCAATTGCTCACCACTCGCCTACTGATACTCAGTTAGTTCCCAAGCAGCGATCTGCCCCCGGCCCCACCCCAGCCAACTCCCCCCAGTTTATCTACTGGTCATGACATCACATGGTATGGAATATCCCTTTGGCCAGTTTGGGTCAGGTGTCCTGGCTGTGTGCCCTCCCAACTTCTTGTGCCCCTCCAGCCTTCTTGCTGGCTGGGCACGAGAAGCTGAAAAATCCTTGACTTTAGTCTAAACACTACTTAGCAACAACTGAAAACATCAGTGTGTTACCAACGTTCTTCTCATATTAAATCCCAAACATAACACTATACCAGCTACTAGAAAGAAAATTAACTCTATCTCAGCTGAAACCAGGCCATGAAGGTACAACTGTTTAAGTGTCCAGTGTGCACAGGTTTAAAGAGAGAAGAGGCTAAAGGAGGAAAAAAAGCGTACAGTTTGAGAAGATCCAGATGCGACTTCCTTTTAGAAATAGACCTCTTCCTGGATTCTGACTCAGAAGAGCAGGGCCCTGCCAAATCACAAAGATGCCGAGGACTGCCAAGTATCTGAAAGGAAAGGAAACCAAAGTTACTAAAGGACTATCTAAGCATTATTTAAATACAATAAATGTCATAGTTCTACCAAGCCCTGGAAACCGAGTTAGCAGTACTGTAATTTCTCACAGCAAATGAAAAGAGCACACTGATTTTCTACTTATTAAAGCTACCTTTCCTCTTTTTAAAGGCAGAAAAGCAGATGAAGAAGAGCAGAATATTCAACAAGAATCACATACAGAATGTTCTCCAGTGTTTTACATTTTTGATTGAATATGTTTCAACTGATACTGCACACAAGACAATCGTTATGCCTAAATATAGAGTAAGTATCTTGCATTATATTATATTCCAAAGGGAGCCTTTCTCCTCAGTCACCCAGTTACAAAATGACAGTCATGCAAAGATAAGCAAAGTGATTCCTTCTGACTCAACCTGCTGGGTGGCATCCTGTTAATGCCCACCAGGAAATACAAGGAGAAGGTTTTACAAGCAAGCCCATATTAATAAGCAGAAAAAGGCTACAGATATGTCCTACAGGAAACAACATTAGACTGAGCTTTTCCTAAAACTTCAGTTGTCATCTTGCTACTGTTTAAAATTAGAGTAAGACAAGTGCCAGGGTGACTGCCAGTTCAGACAACAACCCAATGGGTGGCTGTGTGGTGTTAGCAGAGATCTTCAGACACAGAACAGCCTAGGTATGCACAAGCTAGAACAAAAATCTTCTAAGAGAGACCACCGTTGCTACAAATTACATAAGTTGCCTTGTGTTCCACAACAGGAGAAGAAAGCCACACATGTAAAATGGAAAAGCCCATGATCTCAGCTGCTGATCAAAGAAGTCTCGCAATGCTCCAGTTCTAGTGCTATCAGAGGCACTGGGCAAGAGGCCAGAACAGACTGGTCTTGATATGGCCACTTAAGACATTGGCAGCTTCCTTGTGGCTATTCTAATAAAGCTCAAGGAAACTGTATTTCAAAAACCTGGCATGTAATCAAAGCATATATTCACCTTAATGCCTGTAATACTACACTGTGAGGATGAATGTCTCCTTCTAGCAAGAGCCAAGAGTGCGGAAAGACGCCAAAGAAGTTGAGAACTGGATCACTATACTGTATCTCACCCAAAAGAGCAGTCATGACTCAGTGATAAGATCTGCTCTGTGCAGTACCACAGCATGAACACCGACGGAGTTGCCATAGCAGCTTGCGTTATGGAGACAAATATAGCTATTACGACTTTGTAAAACTAAAAATATTTGTCAGAGTCACTTTGATGTAACAGCTGTGCTCAGAAAAGGCGATTTCAGCATCCCTAGTGCTAAGGTATGGAATGGACTGGTAGGCACATATCGGCAACATTTACTGTTAAATGAACATTTTCCTTTACGTGCCTGGATTTGCACATGTGATTATCTTACCTCTTTCATAATTTTGATGGCTTCTACTCGGTGCTGAGGTGGTGGGTAAAGCAATATCCGGTGATAGAGAGACTGTAGCACGGGCTTCATGGATTCCACTGACCCCACCAGTCGAACCAGTTCTGCTGCAATATAATATATGGTCCGTGCAACAGGCCCACTAAGGGCAGGTGCTGTGGAGGAACAACCTGAACCCCGGCCATGATCAGAGATCCCTGAGGAAGGTGAATCAGCCTCAAGGCAAATGCTGCTGTGGGCAGAGGTGATAGTTTTGTCATGGATTGGATTTCCCAGGATTACCACTAGGGCTGGACACAGTTGCTTCCTGAGAAAGAGAAAAGCAGCAGATGGTAACTGGAAAAAAATAATCTCACAGGAACAGATTGAAAATAGCCCATAGTTAAATGATACACACACTCTTGTTTTAATGATCAGTCAACAGCAGTGGTTAGATAGAATAACAAATTAGGCCAGGCTTTTTCCATCTCCCAAGCATCAGCATGCTAGTACATATGGAAATATTTTTGGGTGCTTTATAAACATGGTATTGATTTTGCAAGTTCATGTTGCTGCACAGTGCTGTCCTTTACAGGATAGCACACCTGCCTCCTTCATTGGTTGCAACCTATTGCAAGGCAGAAATTCTAGTTTCATACTGTTAAGTGTTTCACCTTCAGTCCAACTTGGGAGCTCTAAAAAAACCCAACTAAACAAAAAACCAGTCTAGGTTAACTAGAAGACCTGATGTTCCATCACTGAACTGCACATGCATGTATTTTAGTAAGCACCCTTAGCTGTGAGCCTCTGTTTTGCTGGCTTTTGAGAACATAATTAAAGCCCTCTACAGTAACTCAAAGTGTGCATTGTAACTTCTTAACTGCCACTACACACTAAAAACACCATCCTTCCTTCAACTGTCTTTCTGCATGAACACTCAAGTTAAGTGATTCCGCACTAGCAGATCACTCTTCTGTGGAACCACAGCCAAAACCAACTCAGCACTTTGCTCCATTAGCTGTTATTTCAGCTTTGCACTCATGCACTTGACATTTTACTTCAGTCTGCCAGACCCTAATTTAAAAAGCCAAGTGCTGCATGAGAACGCAGTCCCAAACCTCATTTTCACCCACATGCCTCAGAGGTTCAAGCTACCGCCTAGAGCAAGCACCCAATGACAAGTAATGATTCAGCACAAAAAGTAACACATCCTCCCTCATAGGTAAGTACATCTTATTTTCTCAAGATTCTTACACAGTCCAGAACTTTCATTGCTTCTCTTAACGTGCTTGCTAAAACAGCTCAGCTTTCTGAAGTCACAGAAAGAAAAAACCAGCTTTTAATCAGACATCAGGTAATGACTTTGAGTCTGCTTATTCCATTTCTTTCTCCAATCAGGTACACTTCAAAACACATAAATTCACTGCTTAAGAAATGTGCCTGCCTGAAAGCAGGCATAATCACAAGTTGCAACAGCAACATATTCCCCACACATCTGAGTCCCATCAAAGTGCTTCTGTATCAAACTATGGAGAACACTGTCAGAAGTACACAGAGCTAAATCTTCTCTGTCTGCTCCCTTCTTTATCTTCTGTTGACAACTGACTACAAAGTGCCAGCCAGAGAGAAAGTTGTGTGCACGTAGGCAACCGCTCCTTAAAGAACAAAAGACAGCTATCGGTTTGGTTCACAACTTCACTAGACAGCTAATGAATTAATGTGTACTTATACTGCTATATATTCAGAATTATGTTTGCAGTTTAAACTGTTTCATGTCTTCCTAGTGTTGTTTTCCCCTCCCCCGACTTCATCTTAAGCGTGTAGCTGGAGGATGCATATTCCTTGGCAGCAATGCAGGTTAGGAAGTCCTGCCCCTGATGACTTGCCCTCATGATACATAGTTATGAATACAAACACCTGTAGATTTGAAGCGCAAAATGGATCATCAAAATTATGTAAATTTAAAATAAAACAGGAAGTGTTTTCTTTTAACTGAAATAATTTCAATGACCTTGCTTACAGGATGTCCCTGCAGTCAGTCACATAAGCATAAACAAAGGGCTGGGTGAAATTTAAGGGCAGAAACTTCTGAAATGGGTTTGCCATGAAAGAGAGAATTCTGCTTTTACATTAGAGCTCCCAGAGGCCTCAGCACAGGGTCCCTGTGCAGCACTGCCAAGTGTTATCAACCTGAAGACCTCCCAGTCCAGCTGCCACTGATTTTCTTGGGACAGCAAGGGAAGTTATGGGGTCCTCTACATGTTGCATCCTTAGAATTGGGTCCAAGTCAAACACTTCCATTTCAAAAATTACAGGGTAAAAGCACAAGAAATGCATTTTCCATTAACAGTCACATATATCTTTTCTTAACACATTCACAGGATGGGGATGGACTGCAAGGAACTGCATATTAGTTACATTCTTGCCTTATTACTATGACTCAATTGTCCATATGCTATAAAAAAAAGCACTACTGCAAACAAAAAGAGGGAAAAAGATTATTTCAGGTGCTCCAAGGTGACGGTATCAAACAATTTAGATGTAGGTATGAACACTAAAGATGTCAAGCCTTTCTGGTGAAGTGTATTAAAAAGAGGATTGCTGGATAAAATGGAAGCACCGTGAAGAACATTTAGCCTCAGCCCTTATACAATGCAGGTCATAAGTATTTCTGGTCACCAGCACACCATCTGATGTTAATTTTGCTTATCGTCCTGTGCTACTGCATCAGACCAGTAAGAATCTCTACAGCACCCTCCTACAGGAAGCAAAATATTTGTGTGTTTAATGGCACACATGAATCCAAACTATTGCAGAAAGCATAAGAGATTTTCTGTTCTGGCTAAATACATTAGACTTCATTACAGTGATAAGTCACTACAGGGATTTAATGTACTAGCTGAGTATGAGGTCCTAACCAATCTTATATGAAGCACAGAATGACCTGATAGTGGGTTAACAGTAAGCTCTGCTCACATCTGGAGATTTATTACAGGTTTGTTTGCATGGCTAGGGGGAGAAGGCCCTTTTATACTTACAAACTGATGTACTCACCATATTAGATCAGTGAATCCTTTGTGCTGGTGCATGCTGGGAGAGGAGCTGTTTAACATGGAGAGGATGCACTCCAAGTAAAGAAGCTGCAGTTGCCGATTGTCACTGGCAAGGAGAAAAGATGCCATTCATGTCTCATTAAAACAAAAATTACTTAATTTTCTAAAATAACTATGTTAGTTCACTTGAAAATTATACCACAATTTACAGCAGTGATTTATTTTGCTTCTTCCTATGGATTTACAATGGTGTGATCAGCTTTATCATCCCATTTATTTTGTACTGGTCACATGCAGTGATCTACTACTTTAAAAAAAGATCTATGTGAAAAAAGGTGAAGAAGAAAACAAAAATAGTTATTAAAATTCAATCTAAAAACTTGAGGAGTAAGGAATGCTTAAACAGAGAAAAAGGAGACAACCAGAAGATTTTGGACTACTGCATAGTTTCTTCAGGCAATCTGAAGGGCATTTAGGCTGCTCTCTTCTGGTTATTTTTTTTCCCCTCTTTTCTTGGTGACAGCCACAATGGTCAAAAGTCAATGTCTATGGGCAGAAAGTCGCATGATGACATGGCTACCTTTCAGGGCCTTGCCAGTTACTTTGTCAAAACCATAAACACAAAGTGAGCTTCCTGAGAAAGGATGTTAAAGATCCTGTGGAGACCTGGAACTGATACACTTGGAACATACAATGAGCTTGTACCTACTCTAAGAATTAGCTGCAGGATTCAAGAGACAAGCAAGGCTGAGGTCTGCCTTATGAAAGGAGCTGCCCATACCAATTGCACTCACATTCTGGTTTTCACTCCTAAGACAACTAGGATTTAATCATTCTTTTTTGGTCTGAGATGAGAGCTGGAAGAATGTATTTTCTGATGTATGATGGTAGTAAAGGAAGCTGTAAAGAACAGATTTATCTTAACTAAAATTAAGGAATGGGAAATGTCTACTCTTCTGTCACTGCCTGAATTCCTTTTGTTCACATAGATGAATTTTCATCCAAGTAGAACAGTAGTACCTGTTTCTCATGCCATTCAGAAAACAGCGAATCCCAAGGCTCGAAGCTAGACTTTTAACTCTGTGCTATGGAGAGTTTAAAACTGCCAGCTGGCTATATATTTTAGAGGTGATAGCCTTTTCCTCACAACAGTCCACACCTATCTGGAAAGATGCACACATTCCAGGTATAGTTGCCTTCCCTCCCAACAGCTTTTCTTACAATGTGTCTTAATGCAGATCATCAACATCTTGCAGTTGACACTTGCATGGGCACGCACAGGGCATCATCCCTGCCACCTTGATTTCTCTGATGCCTCTTACTACCAAATTGTTTTCCTGCAGGTAAGAAACGAATATCGCACTCCTGCACACCTCAGGATAGCTGGTGTGTTCATATCACTGCTGCCACAAATTCCGGAGTCACCAAAGTCACCAGTGGTCCTGAAAAAAAGTTTCACCTCCCTGAACCCTTCCTCATCACTCATAACTGTGCCTCCCTCAAAACCAAATTCTAATAAGCTTGAAATTTAGAAGGAGGAATTAAAGTAATCTTCAGACTAAGAAATTAGAATAGGCAGTATAGCATACTAAAACCTCACTTCACTGACCTGGAGGTTATAAAGTTAAGCTGCTGCCAACCAAGTGTTTTGAAGGAGATACCAAAATTGGCCTTGAAAGAAATAAAGGCTTTTCATGTATGGAGTTAGCTCTTTAACAAGCCATCCTAACTGAATTTCTTTTCCTCACATTCAATCAGAATCCTTTACTATGCTTTGCTCATAATTAGAGATCCTAACAGTCTAGGTACATAGTTACAAGCATGAAGTAAATCACGGCTCCGTATTTTTAAGTCCTCTGAATTTCTTACTGTACTTTGTCTACAGCATGCCTCAATCTGTTATAATTCAGTACAGTTTTATAGGGAGCTGGGATTGCAGATAATTTTTTTAAAGACTTTCAGTGATTGAGAGATCCTGTCAGGTAGTTTAGTTTTGATATTTCATAACCAGTAATTCAAAGTGATTATCATATGGTGGACAATACTTATCAGATGAAAGCTGTTTATAGCTTCACATGTGGGCAAAATTTGATACAAAGAATTAATCTTTCAGCTGGTTTTGCCACTTGCTATTGTTAGATATGCACTTTTGAAGACGTCTTCTTATTGTCCTGTAACTATGCATAAAACTAAAAAAACCCACCAATGTTCCTTTAGATGATTCAGAGACATGCTTCTCTTTTGCCAAATGCTGACACTGATTAAATAATGCTAAGTAAGGCACTCTTCCCTTGCAAATCTTGGTGTAATTAGAGACACTCATGGGAGGAAAGTCTATAGAAGAACTGCACACAAAGATGTCTGAGCTGTCTTCAGCTCTGGGAATTTCCTAAGCCATAGGTTTCCTGAAAATGGTAAAGCATATAAAAGGAAGTACCAACGCATACTTGTTTTGTGTATCTCCCATTTCCCCGAGCTCACCACAGGCTACTTTCAGAGACATATAGGCGAACCAAAGAGACAACATTATGCTACATTCAAAATAGTTTCAGAGTGGCTTTTTCACTACCACTCAGGTGATTTGCAACTGGCAGTAGTAGCAAGTTAAATCTTATTTTACTGATACAGAAACAATGTTGTCAAGTGAGAACTTGTTTTTCCTTAAAACTTCCAAATAATGTCTAGGTTGCTATATTTCTATTTTTAAATAACTGCTGTATAATGTTTGCATTGCTTTTAGTTGGCTTGTCACCTCTTTAACACTTAAGGCTTTTTTTGGCTCATTTCTTTATAGACCATTAGTCGAGCTATGCTAGAATGCCACAAGAAGTAACTTTTAACTCGTCAGTAAGTATCTACTCTTACAGTACTGGCCAACAAGAGACTCTAGTATTTTAATGCAGTGTAATACCCTATTACCGCCCATAATAACTGCATTTTAAAAGTTAGGCTTACGCATTTCCAAGTAGGTAGAGTCTATGGTATTCCTAAATTTAAGGAATGCTTTGGTAATGCAAATCATTTCAATTGGATAAATGCCGCCTTTCTAAGAAATATGTGTTAATTCATTCCATATATTGTTTCTGTTAGGTTTTTCCATGTCTCTTGTAATTGTCGTTCTCTCTACAATGGTTGCTTTCAGGACAGAAAAGAAAACTTCTCCTTTGACAAGTATTTTGCTGCTGTGTGGAAGTTACTTATAGATTAGATTTACTGGAAGCTCTTTAAAGCTTAACAGTGCACAAAGAAGGCAAATTAGTTTCTCATCTCAAGTGAGGATTAAATTAATGCATCATGAACAACACTTTCTCTAATAAACACTTCATTTAAGCACAGTTTTGCTTCACAATTCCAGAACTACAACAATACAATCACACATATCAGTGAAACTCTCAATCTCCAGGTAATAAATTCAAATTATAAACTGAAATAACTCACTTTATGACAGCCTGGAGCTTCTCACAGAGCACAGTGAGGACCGATACAACATCATCACAAAGGGATTCAGTTGAAGTACCTCCAAAAAGGACAAAGATCAGAGACATTACATATGTACAGCTGGATTACAACCTTAATTCACTGCATGGACTTTCAGAGCTGGTCAGAGCTTCTAAACAATGAGCAGGGCCGCCAAAATTCATAGAGAAGATGTAGTAGGAAAAGTCCTAGATTGGAAAGTGATCTCCACACAATGAAAAAGCAGTAGTATTAAATCTGGAGAGAGCATTGATTGCTTACATGTATTTACAGCTTAGCTGAAATCCAATTCAGATAATAAAATAAGTATGCAAATAAATAATAAAAAAGGACTGGCTCCAGTACTCGTACATGGCAGTTAAAATTTCTGTATCTCTCCCCGCAGTTTCTTTGCTACACAGCTTCTGTTGTCTGATCTTAAAAGAGGATGCTTGTGCACTTCAAAGATTTTAGCCTCTATCCACACAAGTTCTCCTGCAGAAATCCAGTGAGAAGGTCAAAAGCAGGGATTGTTTTTACCTATCAGGGAAGATGTTGGAAGTTAAGCCAGAACAGGAGTAAAAAAAAATTCTCTTGTAAAATAATTATTTGGCAAGCGCGAACAGACCTTCGCTAGTGATGTGCTGTCAAAAGCTGCCATTATATAAACCACATCTCTGGCCTGAAATACAATAACACAATCATTTCTAGATTCCACGTCCTGCTCCATGAATCTGTTTCAATTTAGGAAGTAAAGGCAAGGCACCTACTAAAGCTTTCTCCAGAGCACTGAAACTCCTTAATTACAGAAGTTAGCACCTTGAAATAATCATTTATTACTATGTTGAGTGCAATGCTGTTACCATGGTCCAAATGAAGACACAACTGAAAATATCAGGAGCTAACAGGGCTGTCTCAGTTCTTACCACAGCTAACACAGAGAGCATCAAGCAATGGACAAGGTAAGAAATCCTGAAGATGCAATTCCTGTGACATCAAACAGTACTGTGCTGATGAAAGGAAAGTGAATAAAAAAGCTGGATTGGAAGGAGTCACTAAAAAAGTATTAGAAGTACCTTGACTCTTGAATTTCTGCAAGGCGTCATGATTTTCAATTGTCTGTAGAGGAAAGGCAAAGGTGGTGTAATTGGTGCAAGGGGCAGAAAAACACTGTAAAAGCAATACTTTAACAGTAGAGCTTTCTTAACAAATCCATGTCCTCTATCTGTTTTGAGGTTTTTGTTTGTTATGTTTTTTTTAAGTGAAGCTTTTGCAAAATGTTTTCAAAAATTCCTTAAGATCCGCTTTAACAAGTCATTTAGATTTAAGGAACTCATATCTCATTGAGCTGAACTAGGATTTGTAAGTCCTTAAGGGATTTCCTACACCTGAACCAACTCAGTAATAACTAGGCACGTAAGCTGCATTGAAAATTACTGAGGAAAGCATAATCTAGATTTCACAAAGTACTTTGAAATCAAAATTAATTGAGTATTAGAGAGTTTATCACATTGTCATTGTTAATGTTAAAGTGCCAACACAATTAATGGCAGTCAGGAAATGGAAACGACCTCTTACATCATTTGGTTCAGCTGCAGTATAGGATTCTTCCTATTGGTGCACAAAGGGACCAAGCCAAATTCTTCTCTCAAGCATCAGCAACAAACTGACAGGAACTAAATGCAGCTCTCATACGCTTTTGCCTGCTCCTCAGCTAAGAACAGAACTTACGAAATTCAGCTTTCAGACCCAAACTGAAATTTCAAAACTACTGGTTTTTGCTTGTTAGTTTATTTTGGTTTTTTGTTTTGTTTTGTTTTTGTGTAAACGTTTTGGTTAGTAAAATGAACCTACTTAGCACAGACAGAAGATAAGTTTAAGTAAATGGATTAATTCTGTTCTGCAGTTGCTCATTAGGATAAAAGTAATCTAGTTTACTAATCAAAAATAGAAGTGATCATCTTAACCCAAAACAGATGTAAGGAAAATAATCTGTATAACTACAGTCCTTAAAATTTCCTAATAAATAGAAATTGACATTTACAAATAGTATTTTTTTGATAATATAACATACAAAGGAGCATGAACGAATGTAAGAAGCCAATGTAATTTCATATGTGCCCAGAACATTTACAGTTTTGCTGAATATGTGCTGGGATTTCATTCAAACAGCTCTCATGGATTTTAATAATGCAATAAATAGAATTTATTTTTTTGCTAACAACCAAGCAAAGAATTCAATGAGCTTGAATTATCTTCTATAAAAAAGTAGAAGAAAAACCTCAATTACACTTTTCTTAGCTGAGAATTTGTTTTGTTTATGTAAATATTTGTCATACAAAAACTTTTGGCAAAAGGATTTCAATGAACCTTAGGAAAACAAGCAAACAAAATAAAGAATGGAAAAGGAAAAGGCCAAGGCAGCCTGACATCAGAACAAAGCCTCTTTTGTTTAATGGAAGGAGAAAAAAAAATCAGCCAAGTAGAGCTGACAATGTGAGAACTGCATTTCTGATAGACTGCTCTAAGGCAGGCACAGAGTCAGAGCCAAAAAAAAAGCTTTTAAACAGGATTAATCGTGGAAGTGTCAAATAAAAGCCATAAGGCACAACAAGCCAGTACAACACACTGCATTCAGAGAAACAAAAAGGTACGCAGCCATGGACATGGAACCATTTGTTGATGCCAGAAGGCTCACCATGTTTTCTTGCTTTTGTCGTAACTGTAAAGTCAAGTCACTCAACATTTGGCTGAGGGTTGCCCGCACAGCGGTGTTAATGCTCCGCTGGTGACAGCTAGATATATATGTCTCAATGCAAACCTGATGAGGAAACAAGATAGCAGTACATATATATGAACTGTGACTTACCAGTAACACATTTTAGGAGGATACCAAAGTCTCTCACATGCAGATAGTCAGCCTTCCTTACTATTTCACATTGCTTTATTAGCACATTATCAGTTTTCAGCAATATGGAAAACTGAGTAAGCAGCAAGCAGCATACAATTCATCAGCCTCACAGCTGCAGGAATGGTAGGGCAAAATTCGCAAAGTCTCCTTCTGTCAAATCCAAGTGATTTTGTCACTTGCCTTGCTCTGTAGATAATTCACTAAATGCTGCTTCGATTGTTCGTTTCTAGGTACTTATTTGTAACTACCACTCTGCAAGTCTGTATCTGCAATGTAAATATCCTCCAATTCTTTAAGGTTGTTGCTTCTGTTGTATAGGTATTTGCCACTTTTTCTATAATTAATTATTACATACTGCAGCACATCTGAAAGCCTTTGAAGGCCTTTCCTAATGCATAAAATACAACAGCACTTTACCATAAATAACACAAATGATTGCCTCTTGATAACTGGCAATCAAGCCAAGGGTTCCTCAGCTCAGAGTTCCCATGAGAGCCAAGGTAGCAATGGAAGAACACTGATGGATCGTCCAGTTCCCAGCTCCATGCCGAGCTGCTGGCAGTTTTTTGACACTGTGCTGTGACCAGAGTTGTGCTTGACTTTTGCCCCAGATAATGTTAGACCAATATTTGCCAAAGCATAATGCAGCTAGGATCCTGAGGACAGCACACTGCAAAATGCAGTTCCTATCCTTGATCAGATTTTCTGTGGGAGGTGTTGGTCTCTATAAGAGCTTCTTTAACTGTAGTAACCACTGTAACTACTGCACAGTAACTACTAAGTGGATAACAGTCTTGATAGAGCCGAGTGGGTTTGCAACAGAACTGTACAATACAGTCTTCTCAGACTGTGATCCGAAGAAGCAGTTTTGGTCCTTTGGCCTACACTGAGCTTTATCATTAACAATAACCATTAAAAAAAAAAAAAAAAAAAAAAAAAAAAAAAAGACTGTTGACATACTTTTCAGTCTTTTATTCTGCCATCGTTCAGATATATAGCTAGTGAGAAGAACCATGAATATAGATTAAACTAGCTATGGAAAAAAATTAAAATACATAAATATATAGTATAAATGATATGCATGAGGAGTATACATAAATGCATCTGATGTATGTTTTTGAATAAGAAGGATATTATGTGATGTAAAGCCATTTTTATAGTACTCCAACGAAGATGAGTTTTTAAGAGGGAAAAATTAAAGAGATCTGATTACATAACCTAATCGGTATTGACACGGGCACACGGACAAGACTCTTGGTTGTTTCTAACTCCTGCCGAAATGAAACCAAGCTATTCCATTGACTAAGAAAGAAAAGCTGTGGGCTCAAATTTAAGGTGAACATGTTGCTGGCACATTTCTGCATTTCTTAAAGTAGAGTGGAAAACAATATAGGTATGTTCCCAAAACTCCTCTGACCTCCTCGCTTTGGGTGACCTCACATCTCAGCGTTTCAATGAAGCCACAAGCACAAGAAAACATGACTGAGTTTCCTGGATACAAACTATATCTTAAGTGAGTGATCTAAGACATCACACATGGAAGGTACTTAATTTTGGCTTTTGCCTTATTTTCCAACTACACTGAGAGAGAGCATTCCAGAGCTTTTCAAGTGTATGTACATCACTCGTTATCTTATGCTAGAAACACTATGCAAATGACAAACTGCAACCGATTATCTCCTTTGGCAGTATACTAGAACAGGTTCCAGTTGCACGTATTTGCAGGATATAAGCAACTGAATTGACAGCATACCTCATTCTTGTTGCCTTTTTTCAATATTCCAAGATCCCCCCAAATAAATAAGGGATTTTATTTAGCTTAAGATCAATTAGTCAGTGACAAAGATGGCCTTGTAAATTAAAAGAAGGCCTGGACCAACTCTGCCCATCATTCAACTATCACCTGAACTCCAGTGAATGAAAAACCCTAAAGCCTGTTAACCATGTACAGCCCTTCACAGAGGCCAAACCATTCCAGTGCTGCTGAGATCATTCTCTTGAGCTGTAAGTCTTTTTCTAGAGTACTTGAATTAATTGATGAAATACCATTCTTAGAGGTAGGCTGACTTTCTGGAAAGAGCATGGTTGATATCTCCTTCTTCTCTCCCCTCCCCATGCCAGCTAATAAGCAACACTACTGTCCACTTGAGCTCTGATGTTATGGAAGGCCTGTGTTCTAAAATGGCTGGGCAAGGTACCTTTTGAAAAGCCATTGATGAAGAAGCACCAGTAAAAATGCGAGAGCTCAGGGCCCCAAGGAGGTGTGCAATGGACTTTTTGATCATTTCATGCATTCGGGGACTTCCAGCTCTATGGCATGCAAAACACAACTAAGAGCAAAACACAGAAGGGTTAGCCAATGAAACATAACAGAGTAAAACAAAACAAACCTCCAAAAGGTAGATGGGAGTAACAAATGTACACATAAAAACAAGCAACAGCATGAACTAAATTTTCTTGCAGAGGTGTAGGCAAGCATGGGAAGGTGCACAGAGGAAGAGTTAGTCTGTTTTCAATACTATTAATCCTTTAGCCACAAAATACAGTACTCTTCATGTTGGATGCCTTCTTAATTTGAAGTTGATAATATTCAGAAAGATTTGGGGTGCCGTTATTTTGTACACATGAATTGAGAATGATCAGACAGTGCAAAATGGCCAGACTGTAGCCTTGTTTGTCAGAGAGAGTCCTCAGAGAGTTCTATCAGTAATGCAGGCAGCACCTTTCCAATTCTGCAGTGGCTCCACTTAGCTACAGAGGGCAGGCTAGGAAAACTAAGGGACTGACTAGGAAAGAAATGTCAAATAGCAGGGGCACTGGAACAGAAAGCTCCTCTGTCACTTTTCCCTTAGAGCAAGTCAGAATAATAAATGCTGAGGCTACACAGCTACTGAACCCAGAAATAATTTTCTGTCCTACTGCTTATAAAACACAGAATTCAGATACAAAGGCATACTGATTCCAGCTGTTAAAGTCTTTGCCTTACCTAAAACCTGGCCAGGAGGAACCTGAGGAAGCATGTATGTGCCTGGTGGGACTTACTAATTAGAAAGACCTAGGCATTCACTAAGGCAGTATTTTCTCAAGGAGTGTGGGGAAAATAGCTGCACCTCCAAACACAAACATACATGCTCTGTATCACAGCTTGTTCCAATTCCCGGAATGAAATTAAAGTTTTGTTTGCTTTGCTGGCACATCTCAGCCTGCATCAGAGCTCCTGTTCATTTTCACAGAAAAAGGACAAACTATCATTGTGCTGATTTGTACCACCACACTAGCAAAGGTTTTTAAGAGCCAGGCTAGCCTTTTAGGACTGAAAGTGAAGTGCAACTACCAATAACAGCAGAGTTTAACCTATGAAAGAAAGCTGCCATTTTTTAGAATGTTTTAAATTAGTAACAGCCCTGTTCTAATCCAAATTTACAGAGAAAAGAAAATATGATTTCTGATGTAGCTTATAGCACACAGAGCATGATGATTGACCATTTTCCCCCAGACTTAGGCAGTGCTCTTAAAGATTGAAATCTGAAGGGATTAGAGCCATAAAATGCTTTTCCCAGCAAGTATTTTGTCCAAGCTAGAGCTCTTTACCTACAGCAAAGAGATGTAATAAGCTGAATTCATCAACTTTTGTCTTGCATGTTAGAAAGTCTCCTGAGAAAAACTGCAGCTGGGGAAACTGTCTGTATTTTCTTCATTTTGGGACACCAACGTAAAGAGGGTTTAGTAAAACTTAAAAAGTTGTGGTTTGCTCTAAATACCAATTCAGTTCATCCTTGCTGCTGCTACAGGTGGGGCTTACAAAGACCTCCAAAAATAGCCATACCTTATGTTCTCACATAGCACAAGAGAAACCAAAGTCGAAGCTGTGCAGGACATCTGGAACGATTACTACTTTTTTTTTTTATCCTGTAAATGTTATATACACAAACTGTTTATGTTATCCCCCTGCCTTTTAAAACCCATTTTTTACAAACTGGCAGCTCTGTTCTTTGGTTCCATGTTATCCCTACAACCCCATTCTCAGCTTCCAATAGGACAATGCAAGGTCAATTTTATTCCTAAACTTAGAAAATACTGTAACTTCCAGGTAAAGTGAACTATTTTCACAGGGCATTTTTCTTTTTTACACCACCCCCACCCCCACCCCCACCAAAATACCAGAACCTGAGCAGGAACACTTCTCTAAATGTCTACATACACTTGGAGTGTAGGACATCTATATAATCTTTACGTTGCTCCATGGACATTAGCTCTCCCCATACCATGTTAACAATATAATTTTATAATATGTTCTGCACACAACAGTGTGTGCTGTGCAGGAGGATTAAGTGTTCCCGTGCATCCTCTCTAACCTAAACAAACAACCCCATGTCTTGCTACACTCTGTACTAAAAATATCACCCATCTACAAAGGCTCACTTAATAGACCTGCAGGTATGTTTTTCTACAGCCAAAGCTCCTTTACAGTTTAATTCAGACTAAAATCTAATGGAATAAAGGGAGAAGAGTGACTAACAGCACCAGAACTACACCATATATCTAGAGGAGTAATAAATCTTTTACTTCAATGTATTAGGAAAAAGATACACACAAGGCTTACAAAGCACATTGTGGCACTTGTGCTAACATGGCACTTTGTGGCCTACACACCTCTCTTGAGGAAACTCTCATTAGCTTTGCTCTTGCACCAGGTAAGGAACCAGTACAGTGCTGTTTTATAAAGAACTCAAGGACATTTTTCTATTGCAAAAGGCAAAGTAAAGTAAATAAGAGAAGTAATAAATGTGCAACACTGTAATACACAATTGTCAGTTTCCAAAAGTGCCTTCCCATGCAAGCCCATCAAGCCTGCCCAACTTGCAACTACTTCTTCACACTAGACATAAGGTAATACCAGTCCTTAAGATGGTGACTGTGATTTGGACTAGTTCGGTTTCAGGGTATGTATGGCAGACACACTCCAGGTAGCGGGGAAACATTAAGTGACACAAGCAATGGTACAACAGAGGCACTTACCTCAGCAATCTTCAACACTGAACTCCCATTCAGCTCAAATGTGGAGGTATATGTTATACAGAGCAAGACCTTGAATCACAAGAGGGAGGAAGGAAAAAAATTAAGCTGCATCCATTACTGCCTCCCTTCCCCACCCATGTGCTTTTAGCCACAGCTCCTTCCATTTTTAGAGCAGACATCAGATGCTTCTTAGCACCACGTGCTACTGGGATAAAGGAGATGGCACACTCAAGTTGCTTCCTCCTGAGAAGCTGCAACTGTTGCTCCCAGAGGTACAGCCCAATGGATTATTTAACGTTGTCTCCTACATCTGACCATGGAAGGAAGGACAACCCAGTGATTAACTCTGGCCTCGGACTTGATATCCAGAATCCACGCATATTTTAACCACAAGCTTTGCATGATTTATAATCAGTCCTTCCATTCATTTCTATCAGTATAACAAAAGAGGAAGGAAAAAAATGCATGCAATGCAAGTTATTACTTAGGTGACATAGATACGTATATATTACGTGAAACCAGATGTCAATTACTGCTTGACACGAGGATTTCCCAGCCTAGGATATTTCCAGTAAGTGTATTATAGTCCTTTGATAATGAGCAGCTAAAAAACAATTCACAAGCCCCAATTCATGAGGGAAGGCTTGTCCTGTCTTGAACTCAGCAGGAGGAATAAGAACTAAAAGCCCTGTCCAAAACCTTACTTTGAAGAGAAGGGGAGTGGGAATGTGATGTGAGGTGATCTACCAGGGATAGTGTGGCAGGCGAGTGGGGCAACACGGTGAAAGATGCTGTGGTGTGATGCCTTTAGTGTCTGGAGATGTCATCCCTTACTCCTCACCTTCCTTTCCAATCCATCCTGCCCCACAGAAGACTGAGATAGTCTGAGCTACTGTCCTCTCTCCTTCAAAGCATAAAATTCACTCAGTGCCAGAATTTATGCTTGGCTTGATCTGAAATAGTATGAGTTTCTTGGGATAAGTGTACCAGCAAATATCCATCACATTAACACTAATGTATTGGTCCCTACAACTTCTCAGCCCCTAAGAACTACTGTTCTCTGCTTCACAATGAAATTCAGGGCATCAGATAAGTTAGCATTACTGGCTGTTAACCATTTCTTTTATTTATTACATGCTTTTCAGTGGTACTACGTTTTTATTTTATGAGTAGGTTCTGTGACAGCTACTAATGCACAACACCCTGGGGTAATCTCCTTAGCCTAGAATGCAAAACAAACAACTTTGTCACAGTGTGTCTGATCAGAGATTGCAAGTTAAACACAAAAAGGAGGCAAAGGGATGCATGTTTGGAAAGATTATTGCCCTCTGGTTCCTGTAAAGCATATTTTTCTGACCTTTTCTTGTGTTGTACAGTTTCCACCTTATGGTGGAACAGCAAAAATTTATGATGTAACAACTTGAAGCAGGAAACTAGACCACCTCTCAGGTGCAAGCTGTATCTTCTCTCTAGGTAGTGATGATCTCTAGAAGCATCTCAGAGCCTTCATAAAGAACAAAAAAAATGCTGATCTGCCAGTTAAGAGAGGCAGACGACTCTAATATAGCATTGTTTAGCATGCTGGAGCCACTGAACACTCATAATTACTGCTGAATCTCTGCTTGGGAGAATACTCCTCTCTGTAGTTATGTTGCACCAGGGTGGGGGAAAAAAATCCATTACTGGAAAGCAGGCATTTAATAACTGTACGAGAATTTGAATTCTCTGTACAAGAGCAGCTTGGAGCATTAGCTACTTGCTCTTACAGGTACAGACAGAAGAGCCTGTCCATGGATGAGTGTCCCATTTTTCTGGAGAAGGACATAAATAACCTTCTTTCCATTTTGAGAGTCAGACTGAAAAGTTTCTATGCACTGAAATGCACTGCACCTTTACAAATGTTTTTCTCAGCAGAAAAACTGTATTTCACTACAGGATGTCACACCTTAGTCCAAAGTTGGGGGGCCTTTTGTTGTTTGCTTCTTTGTTTTGTAAATAAGATACCAGTCAGGAGCTCAATCCTATTCTTACAGGAGATGCTTTTACTATTAAAAGTGTTCCAAGAAAACCATTATGTAATGGCAATTTTACATTTGCCTATATATGTTATTTTGCCTTGACTCTTACTCAGTCCTTCATACAGAAGCTGAGTAATGTGGATAAATACTAGAGGTAGTAAGAACAGAAAAGGACATGCTACTCTTCTGAAGTACAATAGTCCTGGACCATAATCTCTTTTTCAGATATTTAGCATTTACCTTCAGAGCAAAGCAAAGTTTCTGAGCCAAGTTTCTTCTTCATAGTTTCCCTTTTCCGTGAAATGGGCAAAGTGGATGTTCTCATCTTATGTGTTACACAACCTACCTCAGTATTACGAGGAGAGATACAAGCTATGGAGCACCTGAACTTGCCAGAGAGGGAAATCTAATTCTAATTACAAATGATTAAGAATATTGTACTTTGTATTTCTTGATATGAGCTCTGCAAATTTCTCTGCAATCCATTGCATTTGCTGGCACATGGACAAGTACCAGTGATACCTTTTTTCCTGTCCACAGAGCAAATCCTACAGAATAGCTGAAAAGTAAATGATCAGTTACAAAAACCCTCAATAATCTCATTTGGTTAATAAGTACGTAAGTTATAAGGGCTGTTATTTCCATCTGCTGCTCAGTCCATACCTCCAAAATTTAAAACTTCAAAACTGAACAATTTTGTTTGGCACTAAGTGAATTCTAAACTATTGGCCAGCCTCGCAGCCAGCTGTTGCGCCTCACTTTCTCAGATGTTAACAACTCTGAAATTTTGACATTTCTAATAGTTGTGAGAGCTCAGCAGCTGGCTAAAAAATATATGCAGTATTTAAGGAAAAACTGTGATTTGTATTCTGCAGACACTGCTGTGTAAAACACAGGTACAGCGCACAGTTCATAAACCCAGAGACAGACAACTGTCACCTCCCACTGATAAATCTCTTCTTATTATGCTAAGAGCCAAGAGGGACAGCTAGGCCCATGACTAATCTTCTTCAGTGGTTTGCATGTCCTGATTTTCCCTACTTGTAAAACCTTGTTTCCTTCATATAATTGTTTGCTTATCTTGGCTTGGTACAGTTTGTTAATACCTAGTGCTTTCCACAGATCAAAACCTGGAAGCCATATACTACAATACATGGAAGTACACACCAGTTTTGGCATTCTTATAGGACCTTGCTCTTCAAAATCTCTTCTGCCTCTCCCTCCTTTTTTTTTTTTTTTCTTTTTTTATTTCCTACCTTTATAGAGCTGAACTGTGAAAAGTTAGCACAAAAGTTACATGCCTAACCCTTTCTGTCACAAGTGCCAATAACCTGCTTGTAACAGGTGAATGACAGAAAAGTCAGATATCAAGTGCAGTAAGGAAGTGATGATGAAAACCTTCCTATGAAGCAACAGGGAATTTCAGCAAAAAGACTGCTAAGTTTTGACTGCTACTCTTGTATAAAATGAGATCTGGGAACCTCCTAGCTAGAGAAAGGGCATATGATCTGATGTGATCAAATGACAGAAGCATTACAAGTTATCAGCCAGTATATTCTTGGCTTACTCCACTTGCTACCATCTTCCCTCACAAATCACTTGTGAGATCTGAAAGATGGTCTCTGATCAATACACAAGACTGCTCTCAGCTATGATTTCCATCAGCACTGCTGCAGGGCTCATTTACAGTCTTGGCGATGCTCCAGACACTCAACTTGCGTGTCTTCCCATTTACGTGGAACAAACAGGAAGACAGCAGGCTTCTCTCTTAGATTACTGGATGAAAAATGGGATTAAAACCAACCAAACAAAAACAAACCTAGTCATTCAGATCCACTAAAAACACTGAGTCTCCAAGACAGTATATCCCATAGGCTGCTTAACTACTCATGACACTAACTCAAGCAGTCTGTATTTAAAAAAATTAAAGAAAAGATAGGTTTTCTTGGGCAATGACATTTTGGTTTTGCAACCACTGGTAGTGGAAGTAGAAACAAAACTGCAGAGCAACTCCTAGTAAAATCTTCAGTACAAAACAAAATTGAAAATCAGCTTTTATTGTGTGTTACTGTGATGAGATCTTGATTAGTATGGACTCTAAACCACACTTTTTTCCCCTTTTTTTTTTTCCTTTTTTTTTTGTTTAAAGAAGGAATTTACATGACTGTAGAGATAGTTGCAAAGTCACACAACCTCCAGGGTGTTTTAATTGGCTTGCATTATCTTGCAAACGCCTGGATAAGATCACATTTCCATAAATGGCTTATCCATAATGAAAGTATTCATTTTAATTACTGTTGAAGCTCTGACTGTCATGGAACAAGAAATACAATTCCTACTCCCTGGATTCCCAGGGTACCAACTGTAGTATAAGAGCACATGCACAGAAGGTTTTCACAATAAGTAGAAACAAACAAAAAAGGTGATTCTGATGATATAATGAAGGTCAACTGACACAAAATGTACAGGATTTGAATGGCATTGTAATTAAACTGACATTACAATGTCATCCCATATTTTAAGAGAGGTGTCTTGAAGAGGACAAAAAGAGGGAACATTTTAAGATTGTAAGACTGCTAAGTGTGGCTAGCCAAGTTCCCCAAGTGCTTAGCACGTATTTGTAGTAAAAGGTAATTCTCACATTGAAGACCTTATGGTGGAGTCACATCAAATAAAGGAGATGTGTAAGAAAGCAAGTAGTATCCCCAAGATGGAGAAAGAGGGAAAAGGTACAAAACTTTAAAGCAACTGTAATTTGTCATCACCTGAGGATGCTTCAGCACTTCACTGCATTTAAGTGCCAAGTCCACCAACATCCATACACTACTGCTATCCTTTTTCTATTCCAGCACTCAAAGTCCCATTGGCAAAATCCTCTGAACATTCATGTTTCTCCTAGTTGGGATACACGTAGACACTTTAGTCCTTAGAGTGCTGAATTTCACAGCCACCTCTAATCCCTTTGTGTGATTCGTAAAGGAAACCTTTCCTGACTTACTTTACTTGTAGGTTTGTAAATTTGGATGCAATGTATGCTTGAATGATTCTTAA